AATCGTTCAATAATCGCGAAGCAGCGAAGTAAACGTAGGAAATCCATCCGCCAGCGAACTTGAGCCGCAGCTCCGATTACAACAATGAGCGGTGTAACCTTAGACTTGACTGGGGATCATTAAAATCATACGCCGTGTTGGCCATTGCCATCCGACTAGCCGAAATAATGTTGTTGAGCACAAATTCATTTAAATTACAAAGCGTCAGCGACATACAAATGAGTTTGAGGCTCGGTTCGAAGGTGAAGGTGAAGGCTGTGCACAGTAAAATGTGGCAAAAAAAGAAATCATGTATTTTTACATAAAGAAAAGCTAAAAATGGATATAGGTTTTAAAATATTTAACTATTTTCATATAACAAAAGCATGTCTGTCAAGTATTTTATATTTTACCTACCAAAGTAATAATAATAAGCAAAATATAAGTGATAAAAAATTTAACTAAAATATTATTAAAGGAACCACAAAAGAACATGTTGCATTTACACACTGAATAAATATTTATTCCTTGACTCGTTATTTGAAATGGTATTTTTCAAAGCATTAATTTAATTTAATTTACCAATTTATTTATATTTATTTCTTTCAGTGCGTTTGTTAACCGAGAATGGCCAAATGGTAAACTATAGAGTATCGAATGGAATGGTCACGCTGATTGCCATTTTTTAATGAGCCGCCAAGGCGGGGCGTTAATTTCCCGGGCAAATACGAGTGAGTATTGGGAAACTGGTGCACAGGTCATGGGCCCCGGAGCCAAACCGATGATGTTCGTTCGAATTAATTAGAGCGGCGGTACCTAAAGCAAACTCATAAATTCCAAACCACCCGAGTATGTATGTACGTATGAACATTCGTGTGTGTTTGACCCAGCCCCCTGAACAAGCGACTCTTTGTAATTTTTGACATGATATGCCGCACAGATTGTGCAGGAAATTAATAAGAGGAGAGAACGAGCCGCGATCATCGTGATCATGATCATTGTGGAGTTCAGTCGATGACGATGATCTCGGAACCGCTGGAGAACAAGTTGCTGGACTTCAGACTGCAGACTGCAGACTGCAGACCGAAGACTATAAAGTGGAGTCTGAAGACAGAAGACTCGAGACGACAACAAGTTTTTCCGATTTTCATGCAGCAGGCGCAATCAGTGCTCATGATCTGTACATTAGCGTCGTGTGTTGATCACGCAGATTGCTCAAACACCAGACACACATATCAACAAACCGTTGAGTGATATTGGCCATTGGCCGGCGAGTTATAGCCAGTTTCCACTGGCCAAATCGATTTGTTTTTTTTTTCTATTTGGCATAAACCCGGCAGACGCCCCTATGCAAATTTGGCACTTTTTCTGCATATTTCTGCAGCGGTTCGTTTATAGAGTCATCGCCATACGAAAACGCCATTATGCAAACACGATTTTTCTGTTATTTTTAATTCGGAAATTATGCAAATTCCATTATGTTGCCATTTAGCAGGTGGGCGTGAGTGAGAGGGGCGTGGCTTGAAGTGAAGAAATGCCCCGGGTAACTGGAAACTCTGGATCGAAAAACACGAAGATAAATGCCTGCAATTAATGTCTTCTGCAGGTGATCATGAATCAATGATCGATAAGCGATCACACATTAAATTTTGATTGGGAAATTTGTTTGAAGTCAAGGTTTGTATTATACAGGTTTCAGTTTCAAATTAGTTAAAAAAACAAGAGATCAGCTATAAAATGTTGTTGATAAAATTCTGTTAAGAGACAATGTAATAGGAAATAAATTAGAAGCATGTCATTAATTTTTTTAATATAATTTGATACCCCTTTCTTAATTCTGTCTTAAAACTCCACTTCAGTTGATGTATTTCATAATTGCTGTCATTAAACAGGAATTTTCCACTGCCTAGAGATCGGTTACCAAACACACTTGACTGTAGTTCTTTTTTGGTTATTAAACCCCGTTTATAGTTCTTATGTAAGCAACTTTTGTATTTGGCCTGAGCAAAGTTCAGATTCTCGCTTCTCATTGTTTGCTTTTCACGGCTGCTCACGTTTTCCTCTCGCTCTCTTTCAGTTTTGTTGAACTTTTGTGCCAAACAAGGTAGGAAAAAATAAAAATAAAAAAACCTGTTCAACAGCATATTTTCAGTACTTTTTCGGTTCGGAGAATTTTGCATTCGTTCGGCTTGGAGAGCAAAATAAACAAAATTCTAACGCAATTTTTGCTTTGTTTTGTTTTGGTTTTTTACCATGCCTTTTTGTTGCTAAACAGCTGTGTTTGCCCATGTTTGGCTAAAGGTAAACATTATGAATATTTAAACAATGTCCAGACATTGGCTTTGTTTGATTGGCAAACGAGAAATCCGAGACAATGTAGCCAATATTTGCCAAGAAAGACTGCATTTTTCAAGTGGAATTTCCAACCACTCCGCTTTGGATGTGTGATTTTTTAATTTTTATTGTTTTACGTACATATGCATTTTACAACTTTAACTCGAAGCAGAGTCTCAATGTAAAACAGTCGCTGACATTCGAAGGTTGGCAGCTCAAAATACTTCGTTACACCCAGTTGCTTGGTATTTATACACAAGTGTGAACACAGTGCGTTTCAGAACTGTAAGACAGTTGGAAGTTTCAATGCCAGAGATCAATGTCATCTTGGAGTCGACTTTAAGTGCTTACAGAAAATAATTCAATTATAATAATAGTTCGAGTTAAATAATAGTTTCGCAGCAATACACCTTTAAAATACTTAGATGGCTAACAAATTTCCACTGCTGCCATTGTATGGAAATTTTATAAGCTTCCATTGATTTCACTTTCTAAACAAAAGCTACTGAGAACTTGAGGCAATGCGGAAACTCATTTATTCGCATAAAGATTGATCTTCGTGCCATGGAACAAATTGCCTTTTTCGTCTTAATATTTCACTCAACCATTAGGTATCCATTTATTTATTTGGCTATTTTAGGCTTTTATTTCGTTGGAAACATGAGCCAATCGAACTTTTCTAAGTGCTTGAAATGAGCTATAATGGAAAGAACAGAAATATACTTGAGTATTTTTAAGACGCATTTAATGACTTGAACAATAAAAGCGTTCAGATGAATCACCGGAAGGTAATGTTCAAGTAAAAGTTGGAGAGCTCTAAAGTTTACCCATGCCGAAAGTATTCACTAATGATAGTTATGACCTTGACTCCACTTTTTGGCCGCCCCCTGCTGTTGGCCTAAATGCGGCCAAGAAAGTTAGCGATACCCCCGAGGCACTTAACTCCCGCTGACTCCATTTGGCATTTGCAATGACCCAATTCCGTTGGCCGAATCCACGGCATGGGGGATAATTAATCAAAGAAATAGAGCTTCTCGGTTTCACTCGCCAAATGGGAGTGAAAAGGAGAGCGAGCCGAACTTATAACGATAACGATCCAATAAACGAACAACCGATGACCATTGTACTTCTACACAAAGAGAAATATAAGTCCTATTAATAAAATAAAAGCATTAAAAAGCTACAAGATAAAATATAAGTTTTAGAAAGATATAGTAAGTTTTAAATGTTATTTATAACCATGATGTCTAAAATTTTAAATTTATAGATTGGACATCTATATTTTGCAATATTTGAAATAGGAAAACTGTGATATATAGATTGAAACCCTTTTTTTAATAGTATAGTGTAGTATTAAAGAATAGCTCAATATATATCACAAAAATAAAATTTAAATCGATAGAGAAGTCTATCTTGTTAAAACTTATAAAATTTAACTTAAATAACTCCAACTGAATCAATGAACGACTTGCTTAATTTCCTTTAATTGTAAGGTGTGAGTACTGATTATTTCTCTCTCTGTATCATCAAAATAATAATCGTTTAGCATTAATGCAAATCGTGGGCATTATGTCAGCGATCGGCGATTGCAGTCGACGAAAGCGAAAGTGTGTCAGCGGGATGGGCGTATAGGTGGCCATTAAGAGCAAGTGAGACAGACGGAGACGCAAAGCGGAGCGTGAAAGAATCTCTGCAGGTCGTTGCACATGGAAGTTGGGGAAACAGGGAGAGAGGGAGAGAGGGGGATCCAAAAGCTCAGAGCATGCGTGCCTGCTCAGTGAAATGGAATGGAGAAGTGGGAGCGAGAAAGGTGCGGGGAAAGAGAGGTGCACAAGTGACGACTTTCACTAGGAACGAAAACCGACAAAAGGTTGATAACACACACTTTTCACAGCTCTCCCGATCGCCGTCACTCTCTTTTTCGATCCAAAATGACTCACGATTCCAGGTGTCGTGCAATCCCTATCAATTTATATACACATGTACTTATATAAACGCAAGTACACACATACAACTTTGTAGATTCTAAGCGGCTTAAGTGCATGTCATAGGTACATATATGATATATCCCACCCCCTCATCCGGCGAAGGTGGGCGTAAATTGCCAAAGCAAATGGCATTTCTGCAAGGAAGTTGTAAATCTGCTGCCAAATAGAATTGTGAGCGGGATGGATATGGATGCGGAGCGCAAAAGCGTTCATTAAATCCCAAGTCCCACTGCAGCATAAAAACGAAAGAAAAATGTTCGAGCCTCTGACAGGCAGTCAGAAATAAATACCCTCTCGGAAAATATAATTTTCAAAGATATTACATGATGTGTCTTCGAGACCACTTTATAAAAATTTTGTATAAAAAATAGTTCTATTTTTAAATTGTTACTTGCAACATGAGAAATATGTATGTGGAATCATAGTAATATTGTGAATAATTTAAGATTACACCCATTCTATTTTTTTAGGTTTATTAAAACCCCTTTTTTTAAATTAAGAACATGGACGTTAAATAAATATCAAGTTACCGTTATTAACCACATTCATAGGTATCTCGTTTACTTTACCTTACCATTAGTTTTAACTCTTTATAAATAAAGCTTAATTTTACGGCTCGTGTCGTTAGAGTAACTATATAAATTACATGTGCATATTCATTTAAACAAGAAATCATTTTAATTTTTATAGTCATTTGAATAGAATTTTATGAGCTGTTTATTTTGAACGGTTCGCTTTTTTATTACAATCATTAATAAATGATTTTATCTTCATGGAATGAAGAATACGACTTCCAAGCTGCCATTTTTGGAAGGGTATGTGAGTAGACAGGCTCTCCAAACTTCATTGAGAAAAACCTTTTGGGACGTGCGTGCACAATACTCGGGTTTTACGACCTTCTGCGACGCCCACAACGGAAAGCCGCTGCACTGAGAGAAATGCAATTATAGAACCGTCGCGCAACGTGGTGCTGAGAGGGCTCACAAAGACGTCGACAGACGTCAGACAAACGCCGACTGCCGGCCCACACACAGATCACTTGAGGTCTGGTCTGGTTCTGGGATATGACTTTAGCTTCAACTTCAGCTCCAACACTGCAACTTCAAAATCCCAGAGTCTGGGTGCAGGCAATTAGAGGGGCAAGACTTATAGCCCGGGTTCAGTGGTGCCAACTTGGCTATTTGCTTGCTAAATTGGGCTCTTTCTAAAAGTCGGAGAACGAAAACAGTAAATGAAATTGATAGATACTTAAAATATCAAGAAAGATGAGTAATTTTGATACTGAATAATGTGGTAATGCGATGCTTTCTATGATTCAATTGTTTAGTTTATTTTGTATCATTTCGACTTGAAGACTTAAGTAATTTTAAAGCAGTAACAATTTTACGTGTTCAATATACATTAAAATTAATAGCTATAAAAATTCAATTTTAAGTGTAAATATTAACGTATTTGCTAACCTCACCTTTTCAAAAACTTTATACAAAATATTACTTGGCTATTTCCGGTGTTCTTCAGTTGACAACACTGACTGGGTGAGGTAATGGCATTACCATCCAATTGGCCAATGAACCCGTCGATTATGAAACCGAACTCTAGCCGCCGCGGCGGTTAATTAGATGAACTTCGTCAATTGCCTTAATTGAGACCTTGTGCCCTGCGGCGTCGGAAGTGGAGCAGTGCAAAACTGACCTCTTAGCTTTTTGGGAATTTCAATTGGAAGCCGCACTCGAGCGACATACCAAACGAACAGGTCCGTCAGGCCTTGTCGGCTTTATCAGAAAGTCAATAAATGCCTGCGGCGGAATCTTATCAACTCCTTGGCCGTACTATCGATATCTATTAGTGTTTATTGAATAAACAAAATATGAAAGCCAGCCCAGCCAAATAAATGTCACAAGAGAATCGAAAACCGCAGGGCCCAAAAAGGTTTCCTCGGATCACAATCTTTAACAATATCGGATGAACAGACTCCCGTGGTGTTTGTGGTTGCGAGAGGTAATTCAAAGACTTGACCTGGACCCCGCCCCCTTGGCCATACACTTGTGTCCACAGACACACAAAATTTCTTATTCCCCGTTTTGTTTGTTTGCCTCGCAGTTGAAGATGCCAACAAACAAACAAACAAGCAGGCAGACGAATGGAAAGGGCAAAATGAAGACGGGCTGGTGACATTTGATAGTGCATGCGGTCAACTGCCGGCGATATCTTTCGGCGGGTTCTATTTATAGGTCGATGCAATCGGTAATCGGTATGCCCTGGACATGCAGTCGTCCCCAGATGGAGTCACGTTTGGTGGCCCAGCCAAATGCCAGCCCCTTGCCACTTGCACGGGTGGTTATCTCTCGCTTTCCGCCTTCTAAGCTGGTGGGATCAGCAGAACAAGCCCATAAATACCTCGCTGCCACCCGATCCCCCGACGTGATTCATTCGCCGCACTCATAAGTATATAATTGATACAACAAAGGCCACTTGCTGGATTCCCTGTGCCCGTTATCAAGTTTAAACCCCGTAGTCTTAACCCTTTTGCAAGTAATATTCTGAGCTCTTTTAGTTGGTTTCTTACCTTAACATACTTAGCAATCAGTAAACCTTTTTGTGTGGTAAAGGTTTTTTTGTTAAGATTATCATCACACAATAAATTAAGATTAGGTTTTTAAAACTTAGTAATCCAAACAGCTTTTAAAACCTACAACTAAAAAAGGATGCTATAATATTTACAATCTATCTGGAGCTTATAAGTACAAAGCTAGTTAATAAGCACCTTAAAAATTTGTAAGAAATGTTCTACTGAAATTCAAAGATTTTTAAGGTTAACCAGGGGTTAATTAACAGAGCTCCCGTTGCTTTTGTGCTAAGGGCGGCGTTATCTAACATCCGCTGTTGGCGAGCGTGCAATAATAATAAAGAAAGTCAACAAAAGACGCGCACACAACTTGTGACTAATGCACTAATTGAATGAAAGCTCGCGGCGTGGAAAGGAAAACAAATGCAGTGTGTGCCCCAGCCCCACCACAAGCGAATCGGCATCGGCATCGGCGTTACGTTTATGTGGGTCAGCGGCAATCGGAATGGAGCCACCCAAAACATAAATTGCAAATCTCAAGACAGACCTTTTCTTGGCCACACTTGTATGGTAATGTGGGTCAAAAGCCCGAAATTATGTATTATCATTAAATTTCATTACAGCCGACTTTTCGAGCGCTTAAATAATGTCGAAAAAATTCGGACTGCGCAAAGCGGAATGCAAAAACAAAGCGAACCCGTTACACCGCAATTCACGCAATGCCACCACTCAGTGGGTTGTTATTTTATTTTTCCCCCTCCCCCTCTCCCTCCCCCTCACCCCTTTTTGTACAGTTATGGGAACGGAACGGATCGGAGTCGTGGAGCCGCCGAATGCATTGGCCCCATCCCACCGAGCCGAAGAAAGCCAACGTGATGGTCTGTTCTTGTACGCATGTCCATATTCGGAGTTCTTGGAGAATGCGTAGAATCAGGACACCGAGAAAAAATTCAGGATCGGATTAGGATTCTATAAAAATAAAAAGCTGATTCCAATAAAATGAAATCAGAGCCACTGATTTAAGACAATTCATTGTCTTTGGTTCTCGTGTTGCAAAGGTTTTTAAAAGAGCGATATTAACATTTTTTAATAATGTAGTTGTTAACTTCTTTGAACCTATTTGTATAATTCAATTTAAATTTTCCACTAAATGCTAAAAACTTTTTAAACATTTAAATGCTTCTACATTAAAATATATTTACAAATCAAATAAAATATATAGCAACTTATCGAGTAATATTGTATCCCAAATTCGTAGTGTAACAATACTTTGAAATGTGTCAATTAAGATGTTACATATATTTTTCTCAGTGCACCTCCCCGCCCGTTGAGTCATGGCATTTGTGCAGTGTGGAGTTCAGTGATCCCGCCCGCTTACCAAAAAAGTCCTCCCATCTCTCCGAGGTGTCCGAATCGGATTCTATGTCCATCTTGGTCTTCCTGGGTTTCTTGATTTACGAGTGCGTCTTGTTTGGCCTGGCCTGGGGCTCTCCTGGTCTTCTCTAAATTTAGACAACGCTTGGCGAGCAACTGCCACTGGAGGAGACTTCTGCGCCTTTATCGCGACTTCTGCTGCGGCTGCTGCATTAGATATGGCCGGGGATACAGTATCTAAAACGGGCGAATCGTGGCCAAATGACTTCACCCGGCGCAGAGCGGAAAGGCAAAGCTCAATCAATGACCAGCCGATAAGATAAGCCCGCGATTTAATTTTAAACACTGGCACCGAACTGTGCGATTTTCTTTACCGAACGTGTATTTTATTTCGCAGGTACGAGTATCTAGCTCTATTCGCTACTAGCCGCCGATATCTTATCGCGGTCTGCGGAGCTCCAGGCTAGAGCAAATATCCAGCAGGTACGAAGGCATTGTGGCCAACAGCTGTTGGCCAACGCTTGGGAATGAGAATACGCGAATGTATCTCAAAGTTGCGCTCAGTTCTCGGAACGCGCGGATGACTAAACCGGCTCGCGAACTTGAGTCTCAGAGGTTGGGGCTTTTATTACTTCTATTTGGGGGCTCAGAACAAATTGTGGGGATTCTCCTACGCGGGCCACACAAACTGCCGATCGCTGATTGAATTAAACTGATGGGCTCTTCACTTGCTATTGCGAAACGAAAACAAGGCGAAAACCCACGAAATTGCAGATACAAGTATCTCGCGCTTCGCTGACTTTCCAGTTTCTCCCGTGCAAATCACCTTCGCACCGTTACTTCTAATTGCGGCGAATATAAAAAACACTCTCTTCTCACAGACACGGCTGCACATGCAGATACACTTGTGTATTTTCAGATATTATTTTAGATTTTCCTTTTTTTCGGTTTGCTTTGGTTTTGGTTTTGCATTCGAAGGGGACAGGGGGCGATACACGTTCACTAACACACGCTCACTCGCTGTGGCAGCTCGATCGCTCCAGGAACGACATTTCCAGCGCGCGTCTCAATTGGAACTGACATGCCGCAAGAGCCTCCAAGTCCCAAGACCCCAACTCACTTCGCCTCGCGTTTCTCTTAGGCAGTACTCGGTTGCTCTTAACGCGACTGATCACGGCATTACAACCGATCGAGACCCCAAGACCTCGTCCAAGACGTTCGAGCCCCAACATTCTCTCTCGGTATCTTTGGAGGGTCGAACATGTTCGAGTTGCATTCCAGGGACCACGAACACCAACTGCAACTGCTAGCAGTCATGTGTGCAGGATCGACAGCACCACCAGGTCGATATGATGATCCACTCGTAGTACAGCTCGACTGGGTGGAAGGCAAATCAGAATTTAACGAGTTTGTAATGAGTAATTTTTATATTATGGTAATATATAGATATCTTGATTTTTTCACGGTTAACACCGGAAAACCCCTAAGTGAAGATAGTAGCTTGGAAAATAATGGTACGCTTGTTCAAATTATACAAATGTTATAAATCATTTCTGGTAAAACAAAAATTTTTTTTTGAATACATTCAGTTTGGAAAACAGTGGCTGTTTGCGACGGGTAAAAAAAATTTAAATGGGAGTAAATAAGCTGAATGTCAAAAATAATCTCTTCTTAACTTACTTATGCACAGGATAACGCCTCCCAGGATGAACAGTACGGATTCGGTTTCTATGTAGAGGAATAGCACCACGGTTATTAGAAGACCCAACCCCAAAATACCGACAAGGAAGGACATGAGAAGGGCCCAACACAAATCCTAGGGAATTAAATAGGGATATAGTTTTAAGTTTCAAGTCAGGGGCTTGAAAATTTTAAGCTCAATTATGCACTTACCCACATCGTTCCAAAGAGCAGAAACATTTTTGACAGGGCGTATACGAAAGCAAACACCATTGCAAAAATTACAATTATTATGTTTTTATAGCCATCGATGAGCTGAAACAAGCTAATGGCAAAGGTAAGTATGGCAATAAGCATCCCCGTAAGGCCGATGAATATGCACCCGATGTAGAGCGATAGAAAGCCGCAGAACAAATGAAGACACATCTCAATATTTCACTCATTGACTACAAATTATAAGCACATATTTCACTACAATTTTGAATAGAAAAAATGGCTTCGAAATGGTTACTGTTTACATGTTGACATCAAACTCCAGCTAATTCTAAAACAACAACAGCTTTGTATGTTTTTTTTTTTCTGGGAATTGCCAACCCATATATTTTCAGACAAATTTAAATTAATTTTGCTGTTTCTTAAGTTTTAAAATATTTTCCATTTGTTAATTCAAATATGGCGCCCAAAAGCACATCAGCTGTTTCAGCACCAGGGCCCGTCACTTATCGATACAAGTATAGAGATGGACAACAATCTCAGAACTATTGTTTCCAATAAGAATCCAACGAACTGAAGAATAAGGCAAATAATGGATATAGCCGATCCGCCACCAACCAAACGTCCCCGGAAAACGCCCAGCCTTGACCAAGAAATCACTGGAATCCAGGCTATCCTGTCAGATGAGTTCGACGAGGAAATTGCGCTCATCAAGGCACACAGTTGCCAGTTGGAGACAAAGCAACAGCTGCAGGCGGTTATCCAGGAGCTTTCCCAAAAACTGCCCCACTTCCAGCACCTGAAGCGCGTACAGGATCGCAGCGTTCTCATCTGCCCCAGCTCGGAGATTGATGGGTCCATAACCCTGGAACAGCACCTCGAACAGTTTGCCTTCTCGGAGCACGTGCTCCGTGCTCTTTGCCAGGGAGTCCGGGTGGTGGAAGTTCCGGAGAGAATGCCCCGCCTGCGAGTGCAGTACGAAAAGACTATCCAGCACTGGCCCTGCAAGTTTCACCCGAATCACTACTCGGAATCGTTGCGAAATGGCACAAACTTCAGTTCCGCACAACGAATCTTCCACAAGAGGATGGCCCAGCTTTTGATGCGTCTCTCACGGGATGTAAATGCCAACCGGCCAGTGGGCATCTGCGTGGATCCACGGCAGCCAAGCATAGTAGCTATAGCTGGAGCCGATGAGTCCCCAAGCCCACATGAACATTGCGGCATGCTCCTGGTGGACTATGTGGCCCGAAGTCAAGAAGGAGGCGCCACAAAATCGGAGCTCACATTCACTGAGGATTCTGATGAGAAGGAATCATCTCTGCGAGGAATACCTAAAGCCTACTACGATTACCTGAGAAAAGATGAGAACAACAAAGATCTAAATTTTGGAGCAGAAAAGTCGAGGGAATGCAATGAAGAACACAAACTTGAAGGAGCAGATAACCTTGCCAAATTTGGCCCCTATCTGTGCACCGGCTACGATATATACCTTCTGCAGGAACCCTGTCTTATGTGCTCCATGGCCCTGGTGCATAGCCGAGCGAAAAGGGTATTCTTTTTGAGAAATTCGGAGAATGGAGCTCTGGCCACGAGATTTCGGCTGCAATCGGTGCGAGAACTGAACCATCACTACGAGGTTTTCCAATTCACAACCAACGAAGACAAAGACTTGACGTAACATTTAACAGACCTTGTTTTAATAAAGCATTTTATAGGATATCTTCGATTTTGGGCGCTGTTTTGGCCGTCGACTGGCGGGTGGGCGTGGATAGAAGTCCCAACAGTTGGCAATCGGCCTCCAGGATGGTGATGTCCTTGGTCGAGCCGAGGAACTTGGTGGACAGCTCCAGGTCCTTGATGCGCAGACGAACACGAGCTCCTCTTACATAGTCGCTAAATATAAAGAATTATTTATCGAATGTAGACGAGACGTGATATTCTAGGGCTCACCTGGCGTTCCGAGCTGGACGACTGCAGACGCAGTGGAACTTCCAGCCAAAGTCTATGTAGAGATCATCGCCCACCACATGGAAGATCTTTCCACTGACCACCTTGCCTTCGGCGTTACCAAGCTGCTCCAGAAATTGAAGGGTTATTACATAAACAAGGGTATTTCTTGTTTTAAACTCACATCTATCAACTTGGAGTTGCGGAGAAGTGAGGCAAATGTCTGGTTGTCCTCCGCCGGCTGAGGGGGCGTGGCAGGAGCCGTGTACTTGTCAAAGGCGCGGGCAAATCCTCCCTTGCTACCGGTGATGTCCGCTGTATTCTCCACGGGAGTAGCTCCATCCGTTGGTTTTTCCGTTTCCCCGCTGATTAGTCGCGTTATCACTGGCATTCTACGTCTGCTGGTTAAGGTAGCTGCCTGGATTCCGGATTTACTTAGTTTTTGCAGCAGCGACATGGTTTTAATTTAATATTTTTAAATTATCCAATAGCAAATGTAAGTCCAACTAGAAAAACAAAGAAGAAGAACTGAATCGATAGGCGAAATATCGATAAGTAGCAGCTGTGTATGCACTTCACTAGTTACAAAAACACGCTGCCGGCATTTATTTTGATATTACGAAATCGGTTGTTAAGCGTAGGTAATTAAGAATAAATCAATTAAAAATGATCCAACAACAGCGCCAAAGAATCGAGGCTGCGGTCACGGAGATGATCGACGACATGGACAAGACGCACCTGCGGAAAATGCAGGTAAGTGGAGTCTAAACAAGGAAAGTGATTTCAACTGACATTAATTTCAATTCCAGAACGAGATGCATTTGTGTGCGGCCAAATGTTGCCAGGATGGAACCTCCAGTGTGGACAGTGTCCAGAGGTGTGTAGACCGGTGCTCTACCCCCATGACGAGAGCTCAGAATTACGTTCAGCACGAGTTGGGGGAGTTCCAGGGCAGACTTCAACGTTGCGTCATGGTCAGTACCCATTTCATCAACTTGTTGCTCCATAAAAATTTGATTTTATTGAATTGAATTATATTTCTGGTTTCAATATTATCAAGAGTTTGCTTTACACGCACATACACAGCCAAGTCTGCTTTATTGCTATTCGAAAACACTTAATACATTTTATATTTTAGCAATGCAACGATGATGTGAAAGTGAAAATGCCGCCCAATCCCAACGAGGATCAGATAGCCAAGTACACCGACCAGTTCGAGCGTTGTGCCATCCAGTGCGTTGATAAACATGTTGGCCTCATTCCCGGCATGATGAAGACCATGAAGGCAGTGCTCTCCAAGGGACCCGAAAGCATCCCCCAAGTCTAAGCCAACCTGCATTTACTACCTTATTAGTTGTTGAGCGTGGAATTTTACCATCTCTGGAGTCATTTCACATTTTGCTAACTCGTTTAAGAATTTTAAACAAAAATTACCTTATTAATTGTTAAAAGTCTTAAGTACCGAACAAAAGTAGTGTTTAAAATATTTGGAATCACGTCAAATTTTGCCAACATAAAAAAAATACACATACTTTGTACACCAAAAACTGTCATAAATCCTTTTTGTTTTTTCCAAATTCCGAACAGTACAATGGTAGATCAACAGAAAAAGCGTCTGGAGGACGCTATTAGCGATATGATCGAGGACATGTACCGCACCCACTTGCGGAGGATGCAGGTGAGTGTGGTTTCTAGTGGGCTGCTATAAACTCCTTCTAGAATTGAGTATTCTTTGGCGCTCCCAAGTCCACGATGCACCGCTGTGCAGCACGATGCTGTGATGATGAGCGAGGGACGCTGGAGAGCGTCCAAAACTGCATAGAGAAATGTGCCGGACCGCTGATGGACGCCCAGGACTATCTGCAGCACGAGCTGGGACAGTTTCAGAACCGCCTCCAGAATTGCGTCAGGGTAGGAGCATTAATAGAAATTGTGTTCTTTGCGGGTTTTTTGTTATTTTAATACTTGGACACCACTGAAAATAATTTTAAGAAGATTTAATACAGATTTATTTTTGTTTCGGACTGATTTTCTTTGATTTTAGGTACCCTCGACTAATAGTGCTTACACTCTATAGTTATGAAAAGCAATACACATTTTAGAGATAGGTTTTTAAAATTGAAAATATTAAAACGATATAACAGTTTTTTTTTTTTTTTGTCTGTTTCAGACTCAGCACATATGAGATCTATTTTGACCTTTACTTTTTACTTTGCGGTATGTAATGCAATGTAATAAATTATATCGGCTTCTGACATTTAGACTATTAAAAAGATCTAACAACTTCAATAGATCTTCTCAACAAAAACATCAACTGTGTTTTCTTAAACTTTTTAAATATAGAATTTTCTCTTTTGTATCTTAAATTGGTTGGCCAGTTCTATTAAAGTTCACCTACCAAAGCTCGTAGCTTTTCTATTTCCTGTTTTTTCTTTTCTTTCAAATGCTACATGTGTTAATATTATTATTTTTAAAACCGCTGCTTGGAATATGTTGTTAGATAAAACGACGTTTTTATGAGTCTGAAATATATTTAAGTTATAGATTACATAGGACATAAAATGTTGAATAGACTGTTTTATTCTTTATTTGGCTTTTTATTTTTAGTTTGTAACTTAGCTTTGTTGTGCATTTAATTTCCTGTTTATAATTACTGATTAACCGCAGGATTGCAACAGCGATGCCCGAGCCCGTCTGCCCAGCAATCCGAGTGACCGGGACATGTCCCGATCCCAGCACATGTTCGAGAGCTGCACGGGCAACTGTGTGGACAAGCACATCAATCTGATCCCGGGGCTGCTCAAGTCGATCAAGCAGACTCTGGACAGGGGTCCGCCCAAGAGAGCTCGCGGCATGGGCATGGATGTCTAATGCCCACTGCAATCCCAAAATCGATGTGAATTTAAAACGGCTATCGGGAAATTGTCAACGGTATAATTATTTATTGAATATTTTTGGTACAGCTAACACTAAAGATACACTAACGGAAACTACGATCCGGAAGGGGCTTATCGGAGCAGGGCTTATCAACGTCCACGTGGCCCGATCTCTAGCCGATTTGGAATTCCCAGCTCCCGGATCTCCTTGGGCCCTAGCTCATTAAATATCTAGTAATAAAGATTCTTAGTAATATGCAACAATACGAGTGAGAATGTATTTGGGGATCTGGTTGGATCTACTGCTCGTTCTGCTTCGTCCGTACGCCGTACTTGCTCCAGAAGGTGACCTTGGCGGTGGTCTTCTTCAGGTTGTCCTGGAACACGGAGCACGTGTCGAACGGAGGACAGTAGAGGTGCAGGGACACCGAGGTGTCCGAGTGGCTGGGGTTCTCCACGCGATGAAGGCCCAGGTTGTCTGTTAAAATATTGAAACCACATCCAATAAGTAAAAGTAAAGCCTCTTTCTGTATTTTCTAAACTCCTCACCATTTATGTAGGCCACATCGTTTACGGCAATGGGTGTCTCGCCGATCTCCACCAGCTCTCGACTGTCGATCTCGCCATCGGGATGGTGAGGACGACCGTTTTCCCTGGCAGATCTGTTGGGATACTCGTAGCGCTTCTCGCGGAGATCCCCCTTCAGCATCTTCATGAAGCAGTGGGAATCGGCGTGGTCGTGCACCGAGGATCCATGACCTTCGCCCCAGCACAGGATCAACAGGTTGAACTTTCCATTACCAGCATCGACCAGATTCCTGGTGTAGGTATAACGATCGAACTTGGCGTACTTGCGCCACTCGCGCGGATTCGACTTGTAGCTGAGCATCAGGTGATTCACCATCTCGATGTTCACGTAGTTGGACTCGAACTCCCGGTGGAGGGCAGCCACCAGGTCCGTGAGGGAATCCACCGCAGGTCCGTACTTCAGGGGCTTTTCCAAAGCCTGATAGTAGTTGGTGGCCTGACGCAGGAACTTCTCCTGGTCGACCTGCTCGATCTCCGAGTCGATCTTGGACAGGGCCATTTTGGGCTTGCTCTGATTGACCTACGATCCGAATTAAAAAGAAAGGGAAGAGGGTGCTGCATCAGTTAAAGCTGAAGGGCGTGGAAAACTACCTATCAATGCAGCATATTCTATAGAGTTCAGTCCTCAATTGATTTAGATGAATTACGTTGTAAAGTCGATGATCGCTGCTGATAGCTAAAGGTTGTCTCTATTGGGGAATATATTCCGATCGGCTTCCGTTTAATACGGATTGAATTGTGTTCAGTAATCGCACACGCTCCACCTCGGATTGCAAAATCCAACTGAACGGACACCCCGATTTCTGGGGATGGTGCTCTCCTGCTCCGGCTATATAATCAATCTCGGATCGGACGTAAGTCGGAGGCGCAAGTCCGAAGCAATAACAAAAAACAAGAAGTCGCCGGCGATTATCGCCCAGTCCACTTATCAATAGCAGATTTTGCCAATACCCTGGGCATACATACTATATATGTGTCTATATAGATAGATCGAATGTTGCCAGGAGGGGCTCAACAGATGCGCCTCAAATTCTGGGCAAGAGGTTAACGGCGCTCTAATGGGACCGCTTAGCAAATAAAAAGCAAATTTAGATTATATAGTCGTTCCCAAATATTGGGAGATTGGATGATAGGGGCATGGCCACCGATAGCTGGTTGAATCTGGTTGCTGACGCATTCAAAAAAACCAGCGGATTGTTTTTCTAGAAAATATCTACGGGTTTCTATCAGCCTGGATGTTTAGGGGTTTTTTACTCTATGCAATTAAATTATTGTTCAAATTCCAATCAACTCAGGTACCCTTATATACACTTAATTATTGAAATTGATTGCCTACATTCAGGTTTGTTCCAGATTTCTGTTAATTGCTTGCAATTTGTCATTTGAATTTGCACAAATCACTTAAGTAAGTCAAGTGGGGATGCATTTGAGATCTCTTTGTGAATCAGGAAGTTCATTGGTGACTAACACACTGACCTTACTTTCTCCATTAACAAAAACAACTGAATAAACAAAGGGGTTCTTTTATTGTTCTCCTGAAGTTGTGGATTTGAGAACCCCGAAAATGCATTATGTAACTTTGAGGGAAATTGAAGTTGAGGAAAACACTTTCCATCTTGGCTGCAATGTCAGCAAATGAACTTGCACCAAGGGTAATAACTTTTTAACGAGCGCCGCGCCGAGTTATTAAATATTTTCCCCTCTAGTGCCACATCACAAATTTCAGTTTGGAATTTGAAAAATGTTTGGCAATGGACAAAAAGCATAAAACTGCCAGCTTGGCAGCTAACTTTCGCAACAGGTTAAGGCCATAAGCGAAGTCAAAGCAAAACCAAAAGCTGCAAATTGCCACTTGCGTCAATGTTAAGCGAACAAAATGTTTGGAAAATTGGGGGAAAGCCGAAGGCGATTTTCAATGCAGTTCAATAAACTAGAAATTGTAGCTAGATGTTTACACTTTTTAACCTTAAGAAACTGATTAAGGATGAAGGACTTACCATGTTGTTTCTCTTAATTCACTTTTTCAATGTTATAAAAACTTAATTATGTTGGCTTAATTTTGAAATTCACTTTTTAAAAAACTTTTTATTTCAGGACTTGGACTTGCACTTTTTTGAGATTTCACTGGGTAGTTGCCACTCGGATGCGCGCCGCCGTGTTTGTGTGCCTGATTTGGGTATCTTTCACCAATTTATGGAGATCTTGGCCGCAAATCGCCAGTTTCCACTCAAAACGCAATTTGAGTGACAAAAAACGACGCTGGCAGCGGCACCGCAGCTCGTTTGGCATTTTGAGCGCTTTCCGAGACCGCGAGCCAAACTCAAAGCGGTTTCACTCGTCTCAACTTGGCTTGTTGTTGTTTGCTCAGTTGGCCCGGCCCGAAATTTATGCTACCATGTCGATCCGAGGTTGAGCGGCCAGATATTTCAATACATTTCTCCCCCGGCCCAACTATTAATTATGGAGTCGTGCCGTTTTTTTTTCCTCGGCTGATCTTCTTTGTTGTTTGCGTTTTTGGCCAAGAGAAATGGCCGCCAGCCTTTTGGCCAAAGTCACTCGACGGAATTCTCTAGCCAATTTCTTGCCTGGGGTCAGATGATGAAAGGTGTTTTGAAATTAATTAAGGCCCCATACGAAATTGTATGTCAAGTACTGCCAATATTTGTTTAGTTCGAAACACTTGGACCCACATTATTTGGAGCATTTTGAGTGAAAAAAACATTCGCTCGTTTTGTTAAAAAACAAAATACAAAACTGCATTGTTTTATTTCCTACTTTTCTAACCATTTTTTTCCCAATTCCAAGATTAAAATACTTTTCAGTTTAAAAATGCTAGTTTTTTATTTTTAAATGTTAAGCGAATTCCATATTTAGCGTATCTTAAAGATGTCAGCTATTTTACCCCTTAACCACCGCCTAATTAGCATATGCGATCAGTTCGTGGCTTTCTAACCAAGTTTATTCAACTTTGAACTGTTCTTTTCGCATACCTGGCCCACTATGTAAAGCATTTGCATATTCCCAAAACAATTTAAAACGCATATTCATCTTTATTTTTTATATTTTCGTCTTTAATAATGCAGCTAATAACAATATCAATGACCGGCTGGGCATTGAAAACAATATTTTCGTATTTGTCAACCTTTAAAATGGGAATTTTCAGATCAGAACAATATTTGCGCTTTTGAATGAGTTTCTTATCAGCTTCATGCTGATATTATGTGAACAAACATGTAAAAATGCGCATGATTCATTATCAATTAGTGTTTGTGCTAATATTCTGATTCTCTGATAACTGATTTTCAATTTTCAAATTTATTTAAATATTCAAAAGTAAATACATATATTAATATAATTTCAATGGATTGATTCACAATTTCCTTAATGACTAGACAATATAGAAAAACATCAATACACACATTTTTGGTTTTGACATTGGACTTTAAATGCTTGCTGAGCTGAAATAATTAATTCTGCAAAAAATCCAAGCTGGTAAATAAAAGCCTCTATAAGTTGGACCATTCTTTTATACGTTGAAAGAGGCAGAAGAACAGAATGTTAAGTAAGTGCAGGCTAATCTTCCTCGCTCGACATTTCAAATTCTTCATCATCAAAATCAATTATCTGTACAAAATAAATAAACAATTTAAATATATATTTGATCACATAAAGTTGTAATTTTACAAACCTCACTGTTCAACCGCTTAAACTCTGAGATTCCTGTTAAGTCCTCAAGATATTTGGCTGTTTCGAAAGTTTTAAAGAGGAAGGCATGACCGTCATTTTTATATGCATCCAAAACAGCCTGTACGTACATTAAATTATTAGTGTTAAATTAATTGAATAAGTTCAACTAAAAATGTATTGATTTTCTTACCGCTGAGCAAGCGATGCACTGAGCAAACTTTTGGGTCGCGGGTAGAATGTTTTCATAGTTGCACAGCAATCCGCGGATGGAGTGGGGGAGAATTCCCAGTAGACCCTCCGGCACCTTGCCATCAGCCTCCTCCGACTTGCCACGCCCACTCTGGGCGTAGTAGGCGGGCGCTTGTTCCCGTTGAGGATGCTGGAGCAAGGCCACCAGTAATTCCACTGCATAGCTAGCAGCAATGTTGGATACTCCAGGTCGGGTCACAGTGCACTGCTGGTCCAAAGTACGATCCTTAAGCGACTGGACAATTAGAAAAGAAGATCAGAAGAATCTAAGCAAGTAATAATATTATGCTAAAACATCTTTAGTAAACCAAAAATTATTTCTTGATGCAGGTAAAATGCAGTAAATGAACTTTCAAAGAAAGTTTTGTGTTCATTCCAAGTTTAGGTATATATATGTATTTACACTGGTTTAATGTGTTCCCCAACAGCTTTAACGTTGATGCAGTAGAAGATCGTAAGCTTTCGAAAGCTTTCCAGTGTCAACAAACACATGCTCCGAGCAAACAGAGATGACGCCTCCAGGCGAGAACAAAACAATCAGTTAGACTTAAACACCGAAAGCAAAGTATAGAAACTTTAGTGGTTCTATCGGTTACTTGAGTAACCCGCCGCTCCGCCCATCACTGATTAGATAAGACTCCGGCAAACGGGAGAGCCGGGGAACTCCGGACTCTCCCACGGCCCCAAAATAAATTCGTTTTGCGTTCGTTCAGTGCAAAGGCAACAGCTAGTTCGATTGGTAATTGCTGGCTAAAACAAACTGGGACCATGTTGACCGAATTCGCTGGCAATCTTTCGCATCCGCTGGAGTTTGGTCATGTTTTGGAGGTCGTGGCCAAGACGATTGATGGAGCAGCTAGGTAAGTGGTGTCCTGGACTCGAATTCTGACTCTACAGACTGTCCGGAACCGCGTCGTGACAAATCGGTTTGCAAACTGGGCTTCTTATCAGTTCGTGACTAATGTCTTGATTATGATCGCTTGTTTTTGTTAGGTTCCACATCAACCTCTGCACGGCCAAGAGCACGGTGGATCCAAACGCGGACATTGGGCTGCGCTTCTCGTGCTATTTCCGCAATGATGTGATCGTAAGGAATTCCCGGGTGAACGGTGCCTGGGGAGAAGAGGAGACCCACGTACTGGACCCCAACACGCTGCCCAATCCCATCGTCAGTGGCGAGTTCTTTTTGGTTTATATCCTGTGCCTCGAGGACAGCTTTGCAATTTCGATAAACAGTCGGGAATTCTGCCGATTCCGTTATCGCATGCCATTGGGAGCTCTCCGTGCGCTGGAGATCCGGGACCAGATCCAGGTGATCAAGCAGGTTGATCACCGTACCGTGTTTCCCAATCCGTGGCCCGCCATCCACGCATCGGATTACTTCAAGGCGTTTAGCAATGACCAGCCCATTTTATTTAGCGCTGGCCATGTGATCGTCCTAACGGCTCGCTGCTTCGAAAACAAGAAGGGCCAGTTCATCATCAAGTTTATGGACTCGGACACCAAACGCGAGGAGCTCCACTTTAGCGTACGCTTCGATGACAAGGCGGTGGTGCGCAACTCAATGAACAAAAGCTTTGAGTAAGCTGGCTTAACGATGTGTCAATCCCAAAATATTAATTGATTTCTTTTGCAGATTCGGAAACGAGGAGCGTCATGGCGGTTTTCCGTTTGTCTTCAACCAGCAGTTCAAACTGGCGATAGCTTTTACGGAGCGGGAGGTCCTTACCGCCGTGGATGGTTACAACTTCTTCAGCTACGCATGGCGCACACCAAATGCCATGATGAATCTAGTGGGCTTCAAGATAACCAGCATAAATGGATTGGTAGTGCAGATAACCGGTGTGGATCACCTTCAGACCGGGGATCCCACCTGCGCTGGCTTCGAAAAGTATTCCCGCCATGACTACGAATGTGTCTAGTATTCATAAAACCAAACTAACCAAGTCTGAAAATACAAGTGCTATCATATTAAACAATTTAACTCACATTTCCTGGGGCCGTGACATCGTTGCAGAAGTAGCAACCCAATTGGTTGCCATTGATGCACTTGAGTGCAGCGATCTCCTGAGCAACGTCCCCTGCTTCCTCGCGAGTACTACCATGTCGCATCACCAAATAGCTATCAAAGCCCAGAGCTGCATTGATTACAATCTGGAAATACCCAATATTAGATGCATTTATTGTGGGAGATATTTTATTATACCCACCTTTTGGTTGGCTGCTCCCAACAACGTGGGAAGCCAACGACTTTCACGCGAATCCGTGAGCAGGAAGATGACATCGTGGTTGCGCACTTGCTGCTCTATGACCTGTAAGTGCTCCTCAGTCTGGGCAACCAGTGATTCCCCAATGGTGTGTCCCGGCATTGGAATTTCCAGCACATGACCTGCTGTTTCTGCAGAGGGATTAATCTCTCGCAACCTCTCTGCAGCTGTGGTGGCCTTCATCCGATTTCCCGCCACGGCATCCGCATGAGTGTAGAGATTCTGGCGCACTGGATTCGAGAACCCTACTTTGCCGTTGTCCAGCAGTGTGATGTGCTTGAAGCCCCAGGACTTGAAATTTGCAAATAAAGGATTTTCGGTTGTGTATAATAAAGTTGCCTGAACTTACTAAAAGATTCCTTGCCACAGCACACCCCAAAGTACCAGCTCCGAATAGCAGACACTTGGTTTGAGAGATAATCTCCAGATTAAGATCGGGAACTAGGCGCCACTTCATTAGCTTTAGGTTCAGGTTTACAGAGTTTTCAGCCAACCTATGTACAAAAATTAATTAATTGGTGTATAATAATCAGTAATGAACAAGGTCATGATTGGGGGTCTTAGGTTTTAAAATAAAATATTTCAGGTAGTTACAATTATCTACAAATAATCATACAGTTTCCATTACTGATAGTTCTTATCAAATTTGTTTTTAAATACTATCTTACTTGGCTGGATCCATGCTGTCCCTCATGCACACCATTCTTGGCCCCATTTTGGCATTTTTATTAAGCTCCCATCCTACAAATTGTACCGCCGGGGTTTGTTCTAGATTACAAGCTTCGGTTTGAATCACCTGCCAAATACGGCTGTCACCCAACTGCATTTGTTGGTTGTATCGCAGGCCAAGAAACTTGAGTGTTTTGCCAACAAAAGATGGGCTGCAATGGAATGCAGTTTGTTGTTTCAAGAGGTAAATGTACTTAAATTGAATACTCACAACTGATGGATTAGAAAAGCTGCATAGTTTCTCATCAACCAAGCTGGGTGCTCGTACTCGCTGGGATCGGCGAAACCAAAATAGTATTGTTCTACTTCTTTTTCGTCCAGGGAACTTAGTTCTCGAGCTTCGAAAACCTTCTGCTCCTTATCGGCATACATAATAAAAAAGTTCTGTGACTCAGCGGGCAGGGCTTTTAAGGCATCAGTGAAGTTTGTACTATTGGGTATGTCTTGCAATTTTTGGACGGCACCCTGGAGCTTTAGGGTAGGCGTCAGAGGGCAGGGAAAGGCAAACCAGTAGTAATAGCTGTGGCACTTTAAATCGGCAAAGGAGAGAACAAAGAACCGGGTCAACAAGCTGGGATCCCTGAAGACCCCACCATTGCTCATATCAGCTACGAGTTCCTTGCCCTCATCGGCCAGCAGTTGCAGTTTGTCCAGGGCCTTGAACTCTTCGATTGTGTTCTTGTTGTAGATGGTGCCGATGGCGGAATGGCTGAATTTCGGTGGCTGTGGATTCCTAAAAATGCGGATATATGAGCGAGTATAACACAATTCAGTACACTTGATCCAACTTACTTGTTGTAGGCTGTGTAATCGACTTCCAGGAGACATCCCTTGGCATTTCGGTTGGTATAGTGTCCAGAGATGGAGCGTTTGGAATCGGATAGGCGATCGTGGTCCAGTTTAATCTCTGCCAGCTTATGCCAAAACGTAGGCGACACAAAAGATTCAAATGGTGCAAATTGCAAAATCATTTCCTTATCCCCACTCATGTTTCCGAGGGGCGTTGTTTACGTTCAGTTTTTTGCCTGCAAATTATAAACAAAGCTCTCGATTGCGATTGGCCCAAACAGAGAATATTTATCGATTCCAACAGTGGCACGACGTTGATTTGCAAAAAATTGTTATAGAACAGAAAACCTTATGTGATGTGTGGTCTAATGCTATAATATAGCAAAAACTGTATGTTTATTTATAAAAATTTGTATAGCCCATACAAAAAACTTTAAGCTTAGGTTTACAAGACAATATCATAGTTCTTCTATCTTTAAGATTATAACGTTTTTTTTTGTAGAGGTCCTACTGTAGAGTTTTCGCTTTCTCGAATCAGGGGATTTGGCTTAAGTCGACAGCGGTCACACTAGCACACCTACTTCTGACGAAGACTATCCAAACCAAAACAGAAAAGGATATCTCCAACCGCAACCATTAAATATGGATCTGCAGCAGCTGGAGGAGCAGGCGCGCCAGGCGGCCCTGAAAGACATACAAAACATGCTGCAGCGACCTGGTCAGCTGGAGAAGGTGGAACAGTACCGCCACCGCATAGCCCGCAAGAAGGCTTCCGTGGAGGCGCTTCTCAAGACCGGAATGCAAGGCCAACTAGACGGAGTAAGAGTGGGCCTCAAGCAGCTGGAGACCTGCATGCAGGACGTGCGCGAGGTGAGACGCCGGATGGTCGAGGTGGAACGCCTGTTGAGGGGCGTCCCCGAAATCTACGATGCATTGGAAGTCGTTCGGGAAGAGAATACTAAGCACTCGCAGTATGCTACTGCCATGGAGAACTTGAAGCACATCTTCAACGTGGACGCCAGCGTCCAAAAGACAATGGCACTTATCGAGGACGATAAGCTGCTCAATGCCCATCAGTGTCTGGCGGATCTGGAGAACTCCCGGGACGATCTACTCTACGAGTTACACAAACAGCCTAAGCAGCACGCCTCCGACAAAATCACATTGAAGCGCCACTTCGAGAAGGTGGACACCGTGTCACAAGAACTCGAGAAGAAGCTGCGTCTGATCCTCAGCCGCACGCTGAACACTTTACGCAAAAAACCTACTATCATTGTGACTGCCCTTCGCATCATTGAGCGCGAAGAGAAGAACGACCAGTTCGCCCTGCAGCAGCAAAAGGTTACCGGATTTCTTCCGCCTGGCAGGCCTAAGGCCTGGCGGCGCATGATCATGAACGTGCTTCAGCAGTCGGTGGTCACGCGCATTGAGGGCTCCAAACTAGAAGAGCGGGCGGACAACAAAATGTGGCTGGTTCGAGATTTAGAGATTCTTCGCCAAATCATCCTTGAGGACCTTCGTGTGGTTAAATCGCTATGCGTGCCCTGCTTCCCACCGCACTACGACATATTTGGGGAGTACGTCAAGTTCTACCACGAAGGATTGTCCAGCTATGTGAGCAGGCACAACATTTTCTTTAGGATCATTACTTGACGAATATTTTTCTTTTTAGCTGGACACCATTGTACGGTCTGGTCTGGAGGGTAATGAATATGTATCAATGATGGCCTGGGTTACTCACACGTATCCCGGCGTTGAGCTAATGTCCCACCCTGATCTTAACGTGGATGTGCATCGACAAATCGGACCATTGCTGCGACCGGAACATCTAAAGGCGCTTGAGGATGAGTATCTGCAGAACATGCAGCGCAACTTCCAGGAATGGATGACCAAGGCCGCAGAGACGGAGAAGCAGGAGTGGTTTACCGAGACGGTGCCCGATCAGGACGAACCGTTCTATCAAACATCGGCACCATTTATCATATTCGATATGATCAATCAGCATCTGCAGGTTACCAACACAATTCATCAGGAGCTTACGTTCAAGGCTCTGGTTATGAGCATACAGCAGGTGGAAATCTTCGGACAAACTTATTTGAAGAACGTGATTGAACTGAAGGAGCACCATTTCCGCAATCGGGACCAGATTAAGTACTTCACTCATTACATTATCACCATTGTAAACAACAGTCAGCAGATGGTGGAGCTGGCACAACAAATGAAGCAGCTGTACTGGCCCAAGTCGCGTACGGAGCACTATGAAGACTTTGAGCGTCTGCTGGCTACATTCCAGCGCATCCGTGCTCACGCCGCCAGCTACTTATTGGAGGAGGCCTTCTTGGACATGGAGTGTCACTTCAACGATCTCTTCACCGCCAAGTGGCTGGCCAGCAACATTGCCGTGGACACAATCTGCGTGACGCTAGACGATTACTTTCAGGACTACAACCACCTACGACCGAATAACTTTGAAATGGTCATTAACGAGGCCCAGAAGCTGCTGGCCAAGCGCTATATACGCGCCCTGCTCTCTAAGCGGCTGTCGAAGACTCGCGTCGAGTGCGATGCCATCACCAGGAAAATAAAAACGGAAGCCAAGCGGTTTAAACTGTTTTTCGAAAAGATCGCCCCAAAGATTTCCCTTAGTGATTCTCCACTAGACCTCATATCCACGCTGTCGGCGCTGCTCAGCTCGGACATCGAGCTCTTGGCCCTAGATCTGCATACTTTGCTGGGCAGCTATCCGTCGCTCAACGAGGACCATCTGGTTCGGCTCTTCTACATCCGGAACGATGTGAAGGCGGCCGAGGTCCGCGAGAAGGTGCAGGATGCCATGAAGTCGAAGAAAGCCATGGTTAGCATTGCGAAACAGGACTGTATCTTCAAAGAGATTGTGTTTAGCGACAAACTATGGTAGTCTTAGGAGTCCACTTTCTGACCCATTCCGCATAACACTTACTCAGTATATACTCGTCTATTCTTATAAGCTTGAATTGTAATATATACAAATAATGTGCTTTATCAACAATAAATTATTAGATATTTACCCACAGAAAAGGTAATACGAATGAAGTTGTTTTGATGTCATTAGACCTTAAAATGATTTCCATAAAATTTCAATATATTCAGTAAATGCTAGAGGTAAGATATATTAAAGATGTATATTTAAAAAGATTCCGTTCAATAGCTAGAACGCCAACACTTCCGGCGAAAGTAGTGTTGTAATGGTCGAAATAGTGATCTTTTAGGCACTGGCTGAGCGATAACATATGGCAGGAGCATATATATTTGCGACGGATTCTCTCCACGTGTCAGTTGCCCACTATCTGCGTCCCCAGACAAGATGAGCTACAGAGTCCAGCCAAGCGGCTTCGCCACCAAGTCCATCCACTCAGGCCAGAGTGCCGAGCAGTGGAAGAGTGCATCTGTAATCCCGCAGATCTCGCTGAGTACTACCTTCAAGCAGGATGCTCCGGGTGAGCACCGTGGCTACGAGTACTCCCGGAGTGGAAATCCCACCAGGACCGTTCTGGAAACCTGCTTTGCTGCTCTTGACAACGCGAAATACGGTTTGACTTTCTCGTCGGGATTGGGAGCCACCACCGCTGTGCTGACCATGTTGAGCAGCGGCGATCACATCATCATGGGTGACGATGTATACGGCGGAACTAACCGCCTGATCCGTCAGGTGGCCACCCGCCTGGGAATCTCCGCCTCTTTTGTGGATCCCACAAACTTGGATGTCATTAAGGCTTCCATCAAGCCGGAAACTAAGCTGGTGTGGATTGAGTCGCCGACAAACCCGCTGTTGAAGGTGGCCGACATTGAGGCAATTGCCAAGCTCGTTCATGGCGTGCGGGAGGATTTGATTTTAGCCGTGGACAATACCTTCCTCACCTCATACTTCCAGCGACCCCTTGAACTGGGCGCCGACTTGGTTTGCTACTCCTTGACCAAGTACATGAACGGACACACGGATGTGGTCATGGGCGGCATCACCATGAACTCCGAGAAGCTTTACAACAGCTTGAAGTTCCTGCAGAACGCCGTCGGCATTGTGCCCTCGCCATTCGATTGCTACCAGGTGAACAGGAGTCTGAAAACCTTGTCGCTGCGCATGGAACAGCACCAGAAGAATGGTCTAAAGGTCGCCAAGTTCTTGGAGACCCACCCGTTCGTGGAAAAGGTCCTGCACCCCTCGTTGCCCTCCCATCCGCAGCACGCGATTGCTTTAAAGCAGACCTACGGATATAGCGGCGTATTTTCCTTCTACATCAAGGGTGATCTAAAGCACTCTACGGCGTTTCTGAAGGCCCTCAAGGTGTTCACCCTGGCGGAGAGTCTGGGCGGATACGAGAGTCTGGCGGAGCTGCCATCCGTGATGACCCACGCCTCGGTTCCGGCGGAGGATAGAAAGACCCTAGGTATCACCGATGGTCTCATCCGCCTGTCTGTTGGACTGGAAGATGCTGAGGATCTGATTAAGGATTTAGAGCAGGCCCTTGCCATTTCCTCGAAGGCCTAAGTCACTCACATCACATTATTTTCTCAGGATTTTTGTAAATCTGCAGTTATTTGTAAATTAACCCACCCAATAAAAATGTTTTGTCGCTTATCATATGATTGTTAAGAATACTCTATATACTTTCCGGGGTGGAAGGAGGCAATTTATACTCGTTAATAAAGCGGACATAGAGCAAACTGATTTTTGTTATCTTACATATATTTAACTGCTGTTCCTTTGTGTACCAGCTGCAAATTCTACTTTATTGGTAATATCTGGATAAAACAAACCATATTCGTTGCTTTTATATGTCAGCGGCAAGTTCAAATTTCTTTAAAAAGATTATTTAAAGGAATACTCTTCTTTCTAAAGCTTTATCTCCAATGACCCCCCATAGCTACAGCCTTGAATAGACCGAAAAAGTCCATTGTCATTTGATTACTATATACAAACAATGAATCAGCAAATTTAATATAGCTTTGACACTACTAATCTTTCCAAGTCGCGATCAAATAAAATCATATCACGAAAACGTATGTTCCGATTGCCATTTTTTTTATTTAGATGTCGAATTACACCTTAAAGAACAAACTTTCGTCATGAAAAAAAGACCAAAATAAATCCAATCGAACCCGTTTTATTTAACATTTACAAAATGGGATTTCTAATCAGTGTTGCTTATCAAAATCATTGCATCCATATGGTTTCTCGTAGGCTAAACGACTTTTTGGCTAGATCATAAATATGGTGCGATTGGGGTTAAATTGTGTTCCAAGCATGTCTTATTAAATAATATTTCAGGAATCTGATTTGAATTGAACAGAAACATGTATATTGAAATAAGGTAATCTATTCCTATGATGAGAAAATTGTGTTTATTTTAACAATTTTCAGTACACGTCTGAAAGAATGTAATTGATTAAACTTAGGCTTTAACATTATATGTACGATGTCCAAAACCATTCCATTTGAAAGATACATACTATTGTGAAGTGTGCATAGTATTAAATGTATAACAAGGGCCATATCGATATAATAAGCAACTGCGGCTTTCCAACATTCATAATTTTGCCTTTTATATATATCCTTAAAAAATGCATTTCAATTGCTTAAAGTAACCAGTAGTTCATGTGCAATTCTTGTCCTTAGTACTTGTAACGATAAATAGCGACGCCAGCCACTCCAATTAAGATAGAACCCATCAGATAGCCCAGCAACTTCAACTGGAAATGAAAATTAGTGGAGATTAGACAGCTCTTTAATTATGTATGTTTTGATTTTACCTTCGAGTTGTCGACAAGGGGCTGTTTTTGCCTGGTGGCAGTCTTCTGTTCCATTTTCTTAGCCTGCCCCAGCATCTTCTGGTACATCTCCTTTTCGTTGTGTTCCTCGCGGCGAGCCTTGATGAAGAGTCTCGCCAAGTCCGATTGAACGGCTCGATTGTCGGGTTCGAGAGTGGCCACCTTTTGCAACAACTTAATGGCGCCCTGGGTATCAGCCTTGCCCTCCAGTATCTATGGGATTATGCAGTGAGTTAATGAATGAAATCTTAGTGTTTTGGGCAGCCAACATACCCTGCCTTTGCGATACAAGGCCTTGGAGTTGTTTGGTTGGCAGCGCAGGACGTGCTCCACAGACTGAAGCGCTGCATCGAAGGCAGCGATCTTGATTTGAGTCATGGCCAGGTTATTGTAGACTATCAACCGATCCTCCAGCAGGGCCTGCGTATCACTGTTCGAAAGATCCAGATCTTCCTTGTCGAACTCGGATTCCGGATCCCCATCTCGATTGTCCAGAAAGTCAAGAGCACGTCTGTACAGGTGAATGGCGGTTGTGAACTCCGAACGCTTATAAAAGAAGTTGGCGCGTTCTTTCTTGCGAGTACTGAAAATTTGTTTTATTTATGAGGTAACCCAAAACAGATGGCAACTAATCAGCATACCCATATTTACGCAGTATTTCGAACGTCTTGAGGTCCGCGAAGTCTTCGTATTTGATATCCAAAAGCTCAATTTCGTAGGTTAGCTAAAAAAAATTAAAATATTGTAACTCCCTCTTTAGAGTTTTTGAAGCTTAAACTTACGTGCGAATCGGGTGGAACCAGGTACTCGGATTCCCCCTCCTTTTTCAGGCCAAGTGAGCCATACCCAAAGCGGGGATCCACGCTGACCTGGGCCACTTCACCGACCTGCAGCATGGGCACCACCATGTCCAATCCCTGCACGACTTCGTAGTCCCCCACGTGGCACTGGAAGTTTTTCTCGTCGTCGACCACCTTGCCGTTGTCCAGCTTGCCGGTGAAGTTCAGAGTGACCAGCTCGCCGCGCAGCGGTCGCCTACCTCCATCCACCGGCGGCTTCTTAATGGTGCGCTTTATAAGTTGCTTGTTACCCAGTATATCACATTCGTCCTCGGGGTCTTCAGCATCCTGCGGCGCCGCCTTCTTATCTTCTTCCGGAGGCGACGGTAGTGCTGCTCCATCTCCAGAGGCAGCTTCTTCCGCGGCCACCTTGCGGATGTCTTTGGTGTCCTCGGCGTTGGTCAGGTCTTCGAAGGAGCTGCTGCTAGACTTCTCCGTATCCATATTTACCTAGGGTTGATGAGGTGAACGTGTTTAAATTATTGGAACTCGGAACAAAGGGCAAGGGCAAAGTCGTCTTAGTGGACTTTTTTGCGGATAATTCTGACACCCGGAAGCCCAACTTACGGTAGTATCTGATCGCGGATTTTATAACAAAAAAGGTTCGATTCGATTTCGAAAGCAACATACGACAAGAAAGTTACAGGGAAACGAAAAAAAATTTTACGGCCTTTGGCATTTCACTGCCAGCTAGAGGTGGACAAAATGGTTAGATCGCTGGCGGTGTGTCACGGTGACTGGAAAATATCGGTGGGAACATATCAAATATAGGGTAAAACGTAGGCAATAAATTGCTGTGCACACCTTGAAATCTAGTTTTGATTTGGACTTCAATTTTTTAAAAGTGTTTATAATATTTTAAAAAATTTACCGAAATATTTAACAATTATCAAGCAAAGAATAGCCGTGGTCCATATTTTATCTTAGAAATAAAATTAGAAAGCCATTTTAACACAAATTATAAGCAAAATTTTTTATTTTTTCTTCTACCGATATCAGAGTATCGATATGTGGAGTAGCCAACTAGTAGTGTGACCATGTATGTGGCCAGAACTGAAATTCAATTCAATTCAAATTCATTTCAACGTTCAGTTTCATTTCAACGGTTACCGCGAGCAGACGATCAATGTAACGATCCGCGTTTGAAACGCTATTCGTGATTCGGGTTGGCGAGATAAAAACCGCGAAGGCAAAGAACACCGCAAAAACGATGTAAACACAGAGATTGCAGTTTATGTGTTACACAGTCAGTGCATTTTGCACAGCTCGCATAAATGCAAAACGAAACGGACACTTGTTTGTTTGTGCACAAAGTGAAATCAACAAGAGTGTTTAGCAATTGCCTTGGCTTATTTTGTGCCACTTTTTTGTTGTTGTCGTTTTCTGTGAAATTAACACTCTTTCTATTGGCTATGATGGGAAGTGTCTATTTGGTTGTGCCGGGGGTTTAAATCCAGGTACTGGTTTTTCATATCATATATGTACCCTATCGAAAATTTGCAAACTTTATGCCACACCTTACCTTTCTTTCGTTTTCTATGAAAAAGTAAAATTGAGACGACAAACATAAAATTTGTTTGTATTTGTTCAAAAAGTCTTTATTTAATAAATTCCACGAAATTTAATTAAAACCTTTTTAATCTTATAAAAATGAGTCTAAAAAGTAAAAAATTGTTTAAATAATTCGACACTCAAATTAAAATCAGCGCACCTTTTCATACCTTTCTATTGGACCAAATACGTATGGTTTATTTTCACTATGCGGTAACGTTAAAGTCGTGAAAAGAAACCCGACTTCCTTCCTCTCTTGAACTTGATGCGGTTGATTGAAAGTATATATATATTTACCATAAATCGGGCAATGCACCTGACTAACTCCATGACACAATTGATGCATTCCCGCATTTCCTCGATTAGGTATTTTCGCTTTTACCCGCTTTTTGCAATGCGCAATATGTTTTTGTGTGTGCGAAAATCGGTGGGGCAACCAGTTTCAAGCTGCACATATTGACGTTGGCTTTTCTTTTACGTAACTCGCTGCGGGCACGAGCCAAAAAAAAGTAAATATCAAAAATAAATAAACAGCGCCGCCAACCCAGTTAGTGGTTTTCACTTCTTCTTGGACGGTCGTCCAGGTTCACTCCACAAAGCCGGTAGACGGCACGTTTTCATTATCGCACACTTCCCATCCGGAATACTAATGGCGGGTTACTTTGAGGAAATGTAAATGCTAATGTTGATCCCCAGTTCGTTGGCCAAGTGAACCCTTCGAATCGGAAATAACTTTGTGCACAGCCAAGTAAATTCTGTGTTCAATGAAAATTACCTGATTTCGAATTCTAAACAGTGTATTTAAGTGCTATTGTGCCAATTCTGCCGCCTGAAGTGTCAAACATTTAAAGTGAACTAAAAAACAAACAAAGAATTATGGCTGGACAGTCACTTGTCTCCAGTGTTTGGCTTTTATCCGGAGTTTTATTACTCACATTCGCCGGAACAAATGCCTACGGATTTGGACGTTGCCCGAATTACCCATCGATGCCAAAGTTCAATATGAGTCGGGTAAGTTAGTTCCTGACCCCTTGAACCGGAAGTTAATTAATAGCTAGTTCGGCTAAGCTTTTAATTTATTCATATGAACTTGAGGTCTGCAAAATGCACTACTTTAAAAGTTTAACGTTAATATGTGAATCATATATGCGAGATGGTTTTATCTTTAGTGAATAGTCGCTAAAATTAATAACCACAAAACTTATTTTGAGCAATTAATACACAATCATATTTATTTAATAGAACTCAACAAATCAAAGGATTTTAGATAACAACTTTGGAATGTAGACTTATTTACGGAATTCCGCTTAAATTTTCCTAATTTTTAAACTTGTTGTCATTGGTAAATTTGTTATGGGTTCGTTTCTTATTAATTATGAATTACAGAAAAAATATCTGTCAATCTTTTTCGAATGCACCTGTCCTTACAACTATGCGATGTACTGTAAAATCAGCAAAGTATCTTTTTTGCCATCATCTTTAACGTGTCACATCTTCGATTAATTAGCACAAGGCGGCGGACGAAGACGAAGACCTTTCCTCATTTCGTGGATTGTGCATAAGATGAACTTGAACCAATTTAAGGCCACCAAATCCGATCCGCCGTGTAAAGTGCAAACCAGTTTTACAGAAGGAGACGAGAGGCACAAAAGCTTTATGGCCTGTCCGATGGTAAACAAGCCACTTAGTTTATAAAGAAGTAAATCAACCAGTACCAATGCTCAGACATGGGTATGCCAAGGACAACAAAGTGAACTACAGTCAAGCATCCCTGGCACGTACATTGAATAGATAACTCCAATTAAATCGAGAATTTCGGAGATTTTTCAATCTTTACAAAACACAAAAGAAACTTTAAAACGTCGCTTAAATTTCTATTGAAATTTCTAGGGAATTCGTTTTATTCAATGCACTCTTAATCAAAACTGCGTATGTAGTTATTTAGTTATAAAAACTTTACTGTAGTTTTAGGGGCACAGCTGAGATCATGGACTAGAAAATTGGCTCAATCACTTTAGCCGCTGAAATTAAATTGATTGAGCCTTGATTTGCATAAATGATAATGTAGCATAATTGGCCGAATGAGAGAGGTATCTGTGATTCACATTATGCGGCTCCGCCGACCTGCTCCTCATTTCCCCATGTGGCACATCATCCAATTGAGTTGTTGACAGGCGTGAATTAAACCATTCGACATCGTCCCCGCCCCAAACGCCCACTTTTGACCCGGGGCAAAGACCTCGGATCGCCGTCGGATGTAATTAAACCCGATGCGGCGCCCTCCGCCGACTTTGAACTGCAGATGAGCTGTGGCCAAAAGTGAGACTCTTCTCAATGGCCAGCAGTCAAAGCCAGAAACCAGTTCCCAAAATGTTTATGTTTTACGCATTGTTTGGGTTAAGTGGTGGATGGATGGTCGGATGGCAGGGGGCTTAATTAGTAACCCAGTTAAGTGTTTTTTTGGCCAAGAGAAACGCTGGGTGACAAAGCGTGCCAAGTGCAAGAAAGGTTTTGTGTTTCAGGCAAATGGATACCAGATGATTCTAGCTGCACTTAATGTGCTGGATGCATGATATCATTTCAGATAGGGCAGTTGGAGAACAAAGAGACAATACACATTTCGAGAATAAAAGTAGTAAACATGTGAGACATATGGTTTAAAAATATTTATAAGGCATTGCAATACTGCGTTCACAAAGTAGTCACACAAAGCTATATAAAAATATTTATTGGCGAGCTTAAGGTTACCGACTTAAATTAGAAAGGAACTCTTAAGTGTATTTACAATTAAAATATAAACTTACATTTCGTTTAACATGTTTAGACAACTAAAAGGTGTATTACATTACAAAGATGGTGTATTATATTATATATTCACATTATTATTATTACAAATTGTTCTTCTTAAATAATAAAAACATATTACTAAAAACATATTACTAATGAGATTAAATAATCTGCTTTTTTAGGTCCTTGGCCACTGGTACGAGGTGGAGCGATCGTTTTACCTTCCAGAGATCGCTTCTGGATGCACAACTTTTCAATTTGAGCCATACAACAAGGCGGAACAATCAAAGTTTGCCAATTTCAAGCTGGCTGTAGCCATCAAAAACATCAATCGCATGTAGGTTACTAAAATCTGTTAAAGATTTTAATATGTACCTATATATATTATCGTTTTCTTTTAGAACTGGTAATCCAAATGTTAACATAGGCTATGCCACGCCGGAAAATAGTCGATCTTCTATTATGGATTTTAAGGTACTTACTTTATGAACTTTATCTCCATCATGTGATATTTAAATATTACCATTGGTTGGATAAGAATTTTGGGACATCCCGCATAGTTTCACTATAGAACTCTCATAAATCTTTTTTTTTTTTTTTTTTCGTTTATTTATTATTATTATTATTAGTTTACCACGCGTTTTCCGGACGTGATAGCTCGACTGCTGCCCGGATCCGGGAAGTACCAGGTGCTCTACACGGACTACGAGAACTTTGCCATCCTTTGGTCCTGCGGCAGCATTGGATCCCTGGGCCACTCCGACCAGATCTGGATTCTTGGACGTGATCGGGACTTCGAGGTGGACATCCGTTCCAAGGTGTACGACGTGCTGAAGCGACTCTCCTTGGATCCGGAGAGGCTGGTCATTAGCAAAAACAAAAACTGCCCAGAGGCGTTGTGAAAGGCATCGAACTCGACCCATCACCCATCTATATATTTAAGTTCATTCGGTTAAGGAACAAATTCCAATTGATGCCTGATCATTTAGGCTGCTGTGATATTGAGGAGTGTGAATCGGCGAAGTAATGAGAAAATAACAAATACAGAAACAAATAATAGCAACTTGATCGGGGATTTTTAATACGTGCATATAGATCGTTGCCAATTAACGTGGGTGTCCTAATTAGCTTGCGATAAATAGAATTTCCCAGTCTTCTGAACTTAGTCGTGATTTACTTACGAATCGGAAAGGTTTCGGCTGGAGAAGATGTCGCAATTGTGGATCTGGTTGTTCGTAGTTCTCCTGTTCACCCAATGGAATTTCTCTGAGGCCAGAGGAGGTGGAGGAGGAGGCGGACACGGTGGAGGAGGTCACGCTGGAGGATTCGGAGGAGGACGAGGCGGTGGCTTTGGAGGAGGACGTGGAGGTGGATTCGGCAGAGGTGGCTTCGGTGGAGGATTCGGAGGAAGAGGCCCAGGATTTGGTGGACCAGGACGAGGAGGCTTTAGAGGAGGACCTCCAGGCGGTTACAGAGGTGGTCGGCCATACTATGGATATCGAGGCTATGGAGGATTCGGAGGATTTGGATATGCTGGATATGCAGGAGTGGTTCCCGTGCCGGTTCCTTATGCCTATAACCGTTGCTACTACGGCGATTACTACTATAATTACTACTACTGCTGATTTAATTCGATTATGGATGGTTTATTTATACAAATTACAATCAACACGTTGTTTCAGTTACAAAGATTATGTAAAGTTACCCAGAAATACGGGCTGTAGACAGTTCTCTAAATATTCCATATCTCATATAACTTATTGTTTTGATGGTCTCCGGTGTCTGGTTCCTGTTTGTCCACCCAGCGATCAGTGATCAGTGATCAGTGATCTGTTTGTGGAGTGCTGGAGATGGCAGTGCTTAGGGCTAATCGAAAATGAATCCCTTTAAAATGCAATCTACATATGCGCATATAGATAAACTTAAACTACGGACTAGATATGAGTACGAGACATTGATGATGCGTTCGTTGTGGCAGACTATTCGATTGGTGACCGCGAGATCAGAGGGTGCTAAAGTCCATCAAAATAATGTCTGGATCAAGAAGAGTACTTGGTGTGGAAGCATCAAGTGTGAGACTTAGTTCTGGAGCAATTACTTAAAGATAAGGAGTGGGTTGTTAACTAACTTAATCACAATCCTGTTTGCCCCTCCGATCTCGTCTAGTGCGATGTTTCAAATCAATATGCATTGGTTAGTATAAAAGAGTGTGTAATAAGGTGGGTGGAATTAAGAAATAGATATTTCGGAATGTCATTTGTAAAGAATACTAAGAAATATTTGCATATCAAAACAGTTAATTATTACTATTACATGCTCCAAAAGGAAGATATCTCTTAAACAAAATATGCAATGGCATTCCTTTCTAAGACCTTTCCACCCACCCAGCTAATTGGTTCTATTGGATGCCCCGGAAGACGGCGGACGATCGTTCAGTGGTACACGGATTGTTTTCATTGTTGTCTCCTCTGGCGATCCTCTAGAGCATCGCCTTGCACTCGCTCTCGGCGATGCTGTGCTGGATGCAGTGGTTGATCTCGGCGAAGCCCGGCCGCTCGCTCGGCTTGCGGTTCCAGCAGCGACGCATCAGCGCGTAAACGGAGAGCGGCGTGTTGTCCGGACAGCCGAGCACGTTGCCCTCCTTGATGTACTTGATCACCTCCTCGTGGGTCAGCCCGAAGTACGGCTGCAGGGCGAAGGAGAAGACCTCCCACAGGCAGATGCCGTAGGCCCACACATCCGACTCCAGCGAGAACTTGTTGTACAGGATGCTCTCCAGTGGCATCCAGCGGATCGGGATGAAGTCGTTCTCGTCGCCCTTGTAGTAGTCCTGCAGATAGATCTTGTGCGAGAGCCCGAAGTCCGCGATCTTCACGGCCATGTGCTCGTTGATCAGGCAATTCCTTGTGGCCAAGTCCCTGTGGACGAACTTGCGCTCCGAGAGATACAACATGCCCGCCGCAATATTGGCCGCCATCTGCAGCAGGTGCAGCTCGTTCAGCTGCAGGCGGTCCCGCGTCGGCGCCTGGTGGGTGGCATACGGGGAGCAGGCGCGCAGGAACTCGCTGAGATCCCCGGGCGCCATGTACTCGAACAGCAGGCACATGGGACGACCCAAGGCGCACACGCCCAGCAGCCTCACGATGTTCGGGTGATCGAACTCGGCCAGCAGACAGGCCTCCCGCTCGAAGTCCATTTGCATCTGGTCGCTGGCATCGTCCTTGAGCATCTTCACGGCCACCAGAAGGTCCTCCTGGTCGGGCACAAGTCCGGGAGCTCTGGCCTGGAAGACCCGACCGAAGGCTCCTTGCCCCAAAGATCTCACGTAGACGATATCCCCGCGTGGGTACTCCAGCTTCTCCAGGCGAGCATTCGGCTTGGAGGCCTTCCCGTCCGGCACAATGGCCACCGTGGTGAGGGCCACACAGTTGCTGTGAACCGTGGCCGTGCTCCGAATCGTGCCCCACTTGGCCAGCGTATTGGTGTTCCCATTGCCTCCGAGCGTTTCTCGACTGGTGTTCAAATTCCCGCCACACTCGCCGCCGCCTCGCATGGATACGCTGCAGTCGGCAGTGGCTGCTCCTGGGGGCTGCGAGTAGTCCTTGTGCTTGGACAGCTTGTAGACGAGCAGGATGATGAGGTGCAGGGCCACAATGGCCACGAAACCAATCCCTGCCAGCAGGAAAATCATCGAGGGCGTGAAGAACTTCTCCATCTTGATGGGAGTGTTCAAATCCCCAGCATTTGGGTCAACATAGTCCGCTAAAACAAATACATAAATAGGTAAGGTGGAGTTGGAACAGCAAGGAGTTATCTGAACTTACGGCACATGGGGATATCGCAGTGCTGCCAGCGCACGGATTCATCCACGGTGTAGCACCAGGGATGCGGCTCCTCACCTCCGGCATTCCGGCAATAGTTTTCGCCCTCCAGGAGCTGATGGAAGACCAGAGGTGGCTGGAAGTGCTTGTGGGGGAACTGCGTGTCCCAGCGCTGGCAAGGAATACCGGACTTGGACACATTTACGGTGCCCATGTAGAAGCGCCCATTCCCATTGCGGCAGTCGTCTGAAAAAAGAGAAGCAATGTATTAAAATCTGTTGGTTTCTTTCGGGAAATGGGAACTCACAGCTAACTTCCGACTCCTTCAGTTCGGTGAGGCCGATGTAGGAGCAGTTGGGTCGCCGCATGGAGGCGTTGTAGTGCGGCAAGGAGGAGCAGTTGGGCAGCCGGAAGTGGCCGCGGCTCTTGATGAACATGTTGCGCTCCTTCTTCTCCTCGATGAGCACCCAGTCGTTGTAGCAGAACTGCAGGTGCGTCGCCTGGCAGTCCTCGAAGCAGAGCGGAGCTTTCACAGCTCGATCGTTCTCCATGTGACAGTTGGGAAAGGCGTAGGCGCAGAGCATTTTCTGTAGGGAATAAAGGTGGGTAATGTTAGTCCACTAAAAGATTTAACTAATGGATTTTTCGGGGAAACCTAGGAATCCATCTTTTAATATGCAATCAAATAATTAATCTGCTTTAAACGGTGTGTTAGTTTCGATAAATCCTTGAACAAAAAATCTATAATCGTATTTAAAAGTGTATTTAATTTGTTTTTGTTTAATTTGTAGTTTAAAAACCTTTAGAAAAAACTTTAAAATGGATTAAACCCAAATTTTCAGAGCTTGAATTAAATAATTTCTTTACACGTCCATCTATCCAGTTATTTTTGTCCTTACCTCGGCAGCTTCACGGCACAGACCCGTGAGATCTGAGATGAGTTCGTCCCAGAGCGCCGTGGTAACCTGCTCGTTCTTCCATCCGCCGGTGGGGTCCTCCAGACTGTACCACACCTGACCGGAGAGGTACTCCTTGCAGACCTTGCCGCTGTACGGAGCACAGTAGCCGTTCTCCTCCCGCTCCCGTTCCCGCTCGTGATGCCGCTGGTGGTGGCGCCGGGTGACGGGCTCCTCGATGGCGTTCAGGGAGTTCGCGTGCGTGGCGCTGGCGAAGAGGAGCACGCACACTCCCAGGACAGCCAGGTTGGTTACCCTTCTGACCCCCCATTTCCGGAGCACCCGCTCCGCAGCCACCCCCGTCCATTTCCCGGCAGCCATGGCTGTGTTTTGTGTATATGCCTTGTTTTTCACTCCGATTCTAAGCGAATTCCCCACAGGCACCCATAAAATCAGGCATTTTATAGTATTTCACTATGTTATACACTAGTCAATACCGAAATGAACAGTTAAAATATAGTGGAAATCGAAAGCAATTCGCTAAAATATTTGTTTATTTGCGCGCTCACTTCTCGACGACGCCTTTTCACCGAATACCACACAAAGTTAACGACGGGATGTTTCGCCACCCGGACTTCTCCCTTAGGGGTGGTTTCCTGTCACGAGAATGTTTTGTTCGCAGCCAAGTCTGTGCAGTTGGATACTTTTTCGCAGACAAGTCTGGGCAGTTGGATTTTTTTGAAAAAAGCCCTACCAAGAGCTCTTTATTTACTCAAAAAAAGTTCCAGAAAAGTTTTCCCGCTATTTGGAAAAATTTGAATTTGTGCAGCAGTAAAAACCTTTTGTGTTGTTATTGACGAAAAGAATTTACCATTGTAGTTTTAATATTATAGATTTGGAAATGAATTTAGTTTTAGCAAATCCTATAGAACCATAGAAAATCTGAAACCGAAACAAAGTTTGAAAATTTCATTGTTAAGCTTTTCTTTGAGGAGAGTTGCTTTAGAAGAAGATCGCCTTGATTTAAATTTAAATTCGTAAAGATTAATAGTTCTTTATTCTGTTCGAGATCTGCAAATCCAAAATGGTTTTTCTAGTTGTTTCGGCCTAGTTTTTCTTTTGCTTTTCCTCTTCCTTGAGCTGTTTTTCTCTGAGCTTTTCCTCCTCTTTGCGCTGTTTTTCCATTTGTTTTTCTTCCTCCTTAAGCTGTTTTTCTTTTAGTTTGCGCTCTTTTTGCCTCTTCTTTAAGAGTACCGGATCATCGCCCACATCGTAGTCTTCTTCAGGATCCTTTCGATCCTTATCTTCCTCTTCATCGGGAATTTGTTCAAGTCCCTAAAAAGATTTCGGGGTTTACATCTCAGTGGACAGAAACTCAGGGAAAACTACAGGAAAAACGCAAAAACGACCATTCAACTATCACTTCCGAACTATACGTTTTATTTATTCACTTTTGCACTTAAGCTTAATCGGAAAACTTCACTTAAATCGAATTATTTTTTCTCATCCGGTATGGCATCCAGACCCTGAAAAAAAATCGGGACGGTTCTGAATAGAGGATATCGATTCTTGAAACTTTTAAGATGGACATGCTTCAATGAATGGTGATAATGAACCAGTGCAAGATTAGTGGAACACTTAAGGACTATACGAAATCAAACAAAAAACATGGCAGGAATACATTTTCTAGTTAGGATAAATAAATCGGCCAAGTTAATATTTTTGTGGAAGAAAATAAATTAACAGAGTGCAACCCAGTTAGGAGCTAACATAAACAAGAGGAAGTCAAATGGTTAGTATTATTAGTGTAAGTTGAAATAGTAACGATAAAAAACTCCTAGACAAAGATTATTTAAATTTTTTTAGAAGATCTAATCAACGTAACTTAGCTTATTGTAAAAACAAAATCATTTCTTTAAATTGATCAATCTTAATCAATGAAAGCGATGAGAACACATAAAAAAAAATACATTTATTTTTAAATTGGTTAATACACAATTACAACCCTAATACGCAAACAGAAAACTGAGAATAATATCTATGAAAATTATGAATATTTTCGGAATTGTTAGGGTGAGATAACAAACTATTGCCGAGTATCAAAACGTGACCAATGCTGGCCTACAAAAATAGGTCTAAAGCAAGCAAGACTAGAAACACTATATCACTTACGTTCATCAAATAGGGATTGTCGGTCAGTCGGAAATCGCGCTGGTACATAACTCGGTCGAAACGTTCGTCCATGTTACGACGGAAAGCCTGTGGAGAATACAAGAACCATCAGAGACCCTGTAGAAAGTGCCCGATATCCTACATCGCTAATTGCGACTAGTACGTGGTTAAATAATGCTAAACAAATTCCGATTGGTGCACAATCAGCTGCGGTTATATAAGAATTTCGAGCTGCTGGGCCGGAATTGGGCCTCCCTGGAACTTACATTGCCGATCGTCAGCTTCTGCAGACCGTACATGGCGTATATGGGCACCGACAGGAGCGTGGTGATGATCACGGCGCCAGGTAAGATTTCGAACCACATATTGTCCGGAAAAAATGTTGTTTTTGTTATGATATTTTCGACAAATCGACACCAAGTGTGACCGCCACTCGACCCTTAAAACATACAAAAAGAGCTCCGAAAAATATACCAAGAAACTAGATTGTTAAACTAGAGAAGTATAAGTATCGATTAAAAATAACAGTGACAGAAAGTTAGACTGCTACTTCAATTTCAAAAACGGTTGACACTGGTGATTTGACTCTACCTTTCTAAACTTACTTAAAGCAAGTTTAACTCATTTGTAAACCTCATTGATACTCACATTCTAGTGATAGTTGAATAATCATAGGAATACCTGCTGTTTTAAAGCTTTCAAAATAATTTTTTAACTTCTAGCAAAAGAAGCAACCATTGGAAAAGTGTTTATTTTTTTAGTTGAGGATACAGAAATATCTATTTTTTGTATCAAACTCTTATAAGTTTAATTTTTGTTAATTTTTTGTTGTTTGGAACCCTATATTTGACCCATAAACAAGATAGGTAATATCTTAGTATATTTCACGCATTGAGTTGTTACATTTTTTTGCACTCAACTTTCGGTCTCACCAATTGTCAAACGAACAGCGACCAAGGAATTCGCGCAGAGTTCCGACCGCTACAACAACAACGACAGCGATAAGAACGAGAACAGCGACAAATTAGCGGAGAACAAGAACAGGAGCATGAGCATGGCCACCAGCGGTATTGTCGAGTCATTCCCCACGGGCGCCCTGGTTCCCAAGGCGGAAACGGGAGTGCTAAACTTCCTCCAGAAGTACCCGGAGTACGATGGACGCGACGTCACCATAGCCATCTTCGATTCCGGCGTTGATCCCCGGGCAACGGGACTGGAGGTGAGTTGGCACTTTTTGCAGATGGGTCTGCTTCTTCTTCCAAAAACAAATTGGTCCACCAGCTTATCCTTTTACCAGCTTATCCTTCCTCTTGTTCAGCTCTTTTCCTAATGTCCTTCCAGCTGCTTTTGCGCTTCCATTTTTTTTTTTTTTTAATTTTCTGGCTTTTCTTTCAATTACAGACCTTGTGCGATGGAAAGACAGTTAAAGTAATCGAGCGGTATGATTGCTCCGGATGCGGCGACGTGGACATGAAGAAGAAGCTCACGCCCGATGCGAATGGGAGCCTGAAGGGTCTGTCCGGCAACACGCTGAAACTGAGCCCGGAACTACTGGCCCTCAACACGGATCCAGACAAGGCGGTGCGAGTTGGCCTCAAAAGCTTCAGTGATTTGGTTCCGTCCAAGGTGAGAAACAATATAGTGGCCCAGGCCAAGCTGAAGCACTGGGACCAGCCGCACAAAACGGCCACGGCCAATGCTAGTCGCAAGATTGTCGAATTTGAGTCACAAAACCCAGGTGAGCTTATTGTCCTTCCTCCGACTTGTAACTAAAATACTACTCACAGGCGAAGCCTCCAAGCTGCCCTGGGACAAGAAGATAGTAAAGGAGAACCTGGACTTCGAGCTGGAGATGCTCAACAGCTACGAAAAGGTGTACGGCGACATTAAGACCTCGTACGATTGCATTCTTTTCCCCACGGCCGACGGCTGGCTTACAATCATCGACACCACGGAGAAGGGCGACTTAGAGCAGGCTCTGCGCATTGGCGAGTACTCGCGAACACACGAGACCCGAAACGTCGACGACTTCCTCTCGATCTCTGTAAACGTCCACGACGATGGCAACGTGCTGGAGGTGGTGGGCATGTGCTCGCCCCACGGCACTCATGTCTCGTCCATTGCTAGCGGGAACCACAGCTCCCGGGACGTGGATGGCGTGGCGCCGAACGCCAAGATCGTGTCAATGACCATCGGCGACGGACGACTGGGGTCCATGGAGACCGGAACAGCATTGGTGCGGGCCATGACCAAGGTGATGGAGCTGTGCCGCGACGGCAAGCGCATTGACGTGATCAACATGAGCTACGGCGAGCACGCCAACTGGTCGAACTCCGGGTAAGCAAGTCCGAATGGCCTGACGGCAGCTAATCCTCGAGTTGTGGATGTCTTTTAGTCTGGGGTCCGGGTCTGGCGAAATGCGTCGCAGAAGAAAGAAGACGAGTGCGTCGAGGTAAATGACATGTGAATTCCGAATACTCACACACTCCAGTCCTCTTGTCTCCGACACGTTTCTGCCGCCACACAAAACCTTGTTCTTATAATCGTTAATCAAACGAGAACTTTTAATCTTTATCTCCAATTCCTTGCAGCCGCATTGGGGAGCTGATGAACGAGGTGGTCAACAGGTACGGCGTTGTGTGGGTAGCCTCGGCTGGCAACCACGGCCCGGCTCTTTGTACCGTGGGCACTCCGCCGGACATCAGTCAGCCCAGCTTGATTGGCGTGGGTGCCTATGTGTCGCCCCAGATGATGGAGGCTGAGTACGCGATGAGGGAGAAGCTGCCTGGCAACGTGTATACCTGGACATCGCGCGATCCTTGCATCGACGGCGGCCAGGGCGTTACCGTGTGCGCTCCGGGGGGAGCCATTGCGTCCGTGCCGCAGTTTACCATGAGTAAGTCGCAGCTGATGAACGGCACAAGCATGGCGGCGCCACATGTCGCCGGCGCCGTCGCGCTGCTCATCTCCGGACTAAAGCAACAGAACATCGAGTATTCGCCGTACAGTATTAAGCGGGCGATCAGCGTCACTGCCACCAAGCTGGGCTACGTGGATCCCTTTGCCCAGGGAAATGGTTTGCTCAACGTGGAGAAGGCCTTTGAGCACTTGACAGAGCACCGGCAGTCCAAGGATAATATGCTAAGGTGGGTTGTCTTCAGCCATTTAAATGTTAGCAGCAATAAGCTTGCAAATTGAAAACGGCTATAAAAAACTGGTCTGTTGACAAAGTAATTACACCGGTTACTATTTCTGGTTTCATCTTTACGTTTTTTTTTTTTACGATAAACAATTTATGTTTGATAGCTATTCATTTATAAAAACAGTCAAATTTAAAGCGCAATAATTTTTGGTGTTTACGAGCTTATTAGAAATATGATAATCTGATGATATGATGCACGTTTTATGAGCTTTTAGATAAACTTTGCTTGCAGAAATAAAAAAACCAGCATTTAATCTCATGAAAGATGATGATATTACCCTGGCTAGTCATCTGTAGATATAATCTGCGATATTTACTGCACTTTGCCCTCGACTAATTTAACCCATTTCTTGCTTGTTTTTAATATTTTTTTAGGTTCTCCGTGCGCGTAGGCAACAACCAAGCAAAGGGTATTCATTTGCGCCAGGGCGTCCAACGTAACTACATTGATTACAATGTAAACATTGAGCCGATCTTTTTCAACGACAAGGAGGCTGGTAAGTGACGACTACAGTTAAAGTGAATGCTGCTCTCACTTTTGTTTTCTTGTAGATCCCAAGGACAAGTTCAACTTCAATGTGAGGCTGAATCTCATTTCCTCGCAGCCGTGGGTGCAGTGCGGAGCTTTCCTGGATCTGAGCTACGGCACCCGTACAATTGCGGTGCGCGTCGATCCAACTGGACTTCAACCGGGAGTTCATAGTGCAGTGTAAGAGGTTTCTTAGTCTGAAAATGCGTTATTGTTGATTCGAATTTTCCAAATCAATTCAGGATTCAAGCTTACGACACAGATTGTGTGCAGAAGGGCTCTCTTTTTGAGATCCCCGTCACGGTGGTGCAGCCTCATGTGCTGGATTCTGAACATAACAAGCCAGTCTTTGAACCCGCCTCTTCCAAGGGAGACAATAGCGTCGAGTTCCAGCCTAACACCATTCAGAGAGACTTTATCTTGGTGCCAGAAAACGCGACTTGGGCGGGTGAGTAATTTCATCCGAAAAATTGGTTCAAAAAAGTAATATTTTCCGCTTTGCAGAGCTGCGCATGCGCATCACCGATCCAAATCGTGGCAAGGACATTGGCAAGTTCTTTGTACACACGAATCAGCTGCTTCCCAAGCAATCTTGCCGCAAGTTGGAGACCATGAAGATCGTGGCAGTCGGATCAGAGAACGAATCCACTATGGCTTTCAAAGTTAAGGTGGGTAAATAAATTAATACTTCTCTTCCTATCTTTATAAACCAACTATTGCTCTGCAGTCTGGCAAGATTCTGGAGTTGTGCATTGCCAAGTATTGGTCCAACTATGGCCAGAGCCACCTGAAGTACAGCCTGCTGTTCCGCGGCGTTGAGGCCCACAATCCAAATGCCTGTAAGTGGATAGCATAATTATAAATTGCTTTATCAAACTCACAACGTTTAAAACTTTTAGATACAATGCATGCCGGAAGGGGCATTCACAAGCTAGAGATCGAAGCCCTGGTTTCGGAGGAACTGCAACCGTTGCTGCAGCTAAAGAACGCCGCAGTGGTGCTAAAGCCAACCGAGGCCAAGATCTCGCCACTTAGCGCCACGCGAGACGTTATTCCAGACGGACGTCAGGTGTACCAGAACCTGCTGGTCTTCAACTTGAACGTGGCCAAGCCCGCGGAGGTGGCACTGTACGCGCCCATTTTCAACGATATGTTGTACGAGTCGGAGTTCGAGTCCCAAATGTGGATGCTATACGATGCGAATAAGGCGCTGGTGGCTACCGGCGACGCTCACTCCCACACCTTTTTCACGAAACTGGAGAAGGGCGATTACACGATTCGACTGCAGGTACGCCACGAGAAGCGTGAGCTACTGGAGAAGATCTCGGAGGCCACCCTGGTAGCTTCCTTTAAGCTGACAAATATGCTCACCCTCGACTTCTTCGAGAACTACAACCAGTGTATTGTGGGCGGCCGCAAATTCGTATCATCCGTATTGAGGAACTCCTCGCGTGTGTTGTATATCGCTCCGATTCCCCAGGAGCGTCTTACAAAGGCCAATCTGCCTGCTCAATGCGCCTGGCTGAGCGGTAAACTAGTGTTTCCGCAGGACGAAGCTGGCCGTCGCGTAGCCCTGCACCCCTTCAACTACATCCTCAATCCCGCTGAGAAGAAGGCGCACACAAATGGCTCCGGCAATGGAACCAGCGCTGCAGGAACCACAGCTGCAGCAGCCGCCGCAGCCACTGCCAGTGCGACCAAGCCCAAGGCTCCGGCTACTCCACCGGCGGCCACAGCCGTAAACAATCCCGCTGCCGGCGATGGAGTCACCGTCCAAAGCGATACCCCGGTGGAGAGCAATGCCAGCCCCGCCTCGCCCAAAAAGGGAAAGACTAATGCCGACGATTATGCCGAGAGTTTGCGCGACTTCCAGTGCTCTCACATCACCAAGTGTGGTAGGCACATTATAAAAATTAAATTTTTATTTTTAAATCAAATCGAACTATTTATTCACAGATTTGGAGATGGCAGAGAAAATCTACAACGAAGTGGTGGCTGCCCATCCCAAGCATCTGCAGGCAAACCTGCTGCTTATCCAGAACATCGAGTCCAACCAATTGAAGTCACAACTGCCGCTATCCTTCGTTAATGCCCAAAAGACATCTCCGCCAGAAGCAGGCGAAGGTACCGACAAGCAGAAGGAGGATCAGAAGAAGCTGCGCAACGCCCTGGAACGTATTGTTAAGCTGGCCGATAAGGTGGTCCAAGATACCGATGTCGAGGCCTTACTCTCGTATTATGGTCTGAAGAACGATACCCGTGCCGATGCAGCCAAGATTAAGACGTATGTTGAGTGTTTGAGTTATGGCCTCCCGGCTTTAGTTAACATTACTCCCTTTTTAGCAACATGGACAAGCAAAAGAACAATCTCATTGAGGCCCTGAGCAAGAAGGGCATCGCCATCGCCAAACTGGCTGTTTTGGACGATAGCATTAACGATCGCCTGGCCGAGATAAACGATCTGTACACGGACATCATTAAGTTCGTGGACGCCAACGACTCTAAAGCCATTCAGTTTGCCCTGTGGCACGCCTATGCCCACGGTCACTACGGCCGCATGTACAAGTACGTGGTAAAGCTGATCGAGGAGAAACGCAGCCGCGATTACTTCGAGGAGCTGGCTGCCATCAATGGCGCCCTGGGTCACGAGCACATCCGGACTGCCATTAACCGTATGATGGCCACAGCCTTCCCCAGTGGCTTCCGTTTGTTCTAAACGCTGATCAGTAGTAGCCTCAAATTATTTACGCTCCGATGCGATTATTGTTTTTTACATAACTAAAGTAATCAATATGTATATGAATAAATGCTATTATTTGAAATTAAATGGGTTTTCTGTTTTTGAACTTGTTTATATTTTTTTCAATCATTTTAATTGCCAAAAAATATGCAGATTAAATGCTGTTTAAAGATCTCATCAGACAGAAACATAAAATATTAAATTGAAATATAATTTTAATATTCAAAGATAAAGTTTAACTTCTCGTAAGTCTACTTTCACAAAATAAAAAATACTTAGTAACGGAAAAATTTTAAATTCCTGGAACCGTTTCTTTAACTGTTTAAATGTTTTCCAGCACTGGCTTTTGGTAAATAAGCCGACTCCGCGCAACGGTCATACTCATTGCAGCAAAAAAACAAAAAACAATGCAGACGCACACGCGAGAGTAAAATGGGTAAGTTTGACAGAAAAAAGGCAGTTAAAAAGTGAAAAACGAGCTTATTGTGAAGCTAAATACCCGAACTCGCAGGTGACATGTGAAAATTGAACGAAAATCGCGAGGAAAATTGCTTTTTCCTGCTACGTAGTTTCCGATAGTCTTCCGCTTGCGTGAATAAGTGTGTGTGTGTGTATGTATTGGCCGATCGATTTTATTTTGCATATTCAAGGACAAGCGAAGTCCTGCGGGAAAGTGCTACCGGGACCCTTGCCAAATCGGGGTGGAGCCGGAAAACGGAACCGTTTATCAAGAGCTATGACTCAGTTACCTCCAATTCCCGGGACGTTATCAGCTCAGCAGTCGGTGTACATGCATTTGTTGCTCAACATCCACCCCCAATCCCTCATCCCACCTCCTGCTCCCTTGCCCACCCACTGTGTCAACTCCGGAGAGGACAAACAATGGCCCCTTGCAGTCGGATGACAAATGCGGGTGCAGCGACATTGTGAAAGAATGACTTGGAGTCTACAGATCCGACTAGCAGATACCTTTTGTACTTATCCTCTTTTTAGAAAGAAAACTAAGTATACCCCAAATAACCTTATTAGGTAGCTTGCATAAAAATGTTCAAATCTTTTTTTCTATTTTAATTCATTTGCTAAGAATAAAAATGAGTTCTATGAGCGTTATTAGGATTGTTACATACTTCGAGGCGCCGATAAATCTCAAGAGAGCAATAACTTACATATATTGAGATTCAAAAAGTGTACATTTATCTACTTTAAGATAATAAATGAGTACATATGTGTATGTCATTCCAATTATGTGCTTTGAAATCCAACTAGAACAAGTATATGAGTCTTAGATTTTTTAGGGTTGATATGTTTTAGGAGTTTCCTCAAATGATATTATGATATTTTAAATGAAAAGTTGGAAACTTTTTTAGTACCTCTTACTTTTCAGGGCTTTAGTTAAAGAAATTTTCAAGACATCGATACCACAATAAGCACTAAAGAATTTCAATGTCTCTGATCTGCAAGATGTTTGTATAGAGAGTAGAGAGATTCATTTTCAATCAGAGCTCTCTAGTGATTCTACCTGTTAGCGATTTCTGTGGGTAGCCAATACACCCGATTCAAACCTCTGCTAAGGGGTAAAAAGCAAGGCAATCGGAATTCTGTGTCAATGAGCTCACGTACTCCTGCCTAAATGTGTTTGTGTTCTGGGGTTGGGGGAGCGGAACTTTTGGGTATGCAGGAGATGTCTGTTTTATTTAATCATATTCAAAAATCCCATCTGCGTTGGCGGATCGATCGTTAAAGAAGTTATTTATTGCCTAGGGTATTCCCCCTTATGCTCGGCACACGAAAGATAAGGGCCCCCGAGATTTGCTTTTGTGCGCGCGGTCTTACTGTATATTTACTATATAATATATACCCAAGATCTTAATGTGTTTATTTTTGTACATTCCCCGCTTTCAGAGTATCCACAAATTGATTTATACGAATTCCTCACAGAGTCCGAACTGCAGCAGTACTACAATGCCGTCAAGTGAGTGACCCAAAAAGCGGAAGCAGCTCCCCAGCCCCAACTAAACCGACCCCCCTCCAAACTCTTTCCTCCCCCGCAGAAATGAATTGAAAATAACGAACGCGGCCCAGTTCAAGTATGCGGCGGATGAGGATTTGCGTTTCATCGGGCTCTCGCGCCCGGAAATCCGGAGGCTCCGCAAGTTCTACGAGAAGCACTTCCCCCACAGCTACCTCAGCAAGATCAAGCGTCTGCTGCAGGCGCCCGGAACGATGGTAAAGCGGGAGGAGGCGCCCGCCGGCGGAGGTCAAGTGGCGCCCGATGGGAGTGGTGCCTCCGCATGCTCGTCCCTGGCAGCCAAGAACGGGGCCAGTTCGCCAGGCAAGGTGCCCAACAACAAGCACATTATTCCGGCGGACTCCATTAGTGTTAACAAGCAACTGGGCACCGGCGAGTTTGGGATCGTCCAGCAGGGCGTCTGGTCCAATGGCAGCGAGAGGGTGAGTTTCGATTAGCTATTACCATACACATAAGTGATCTAATCCGTCTTCTGCAGATCCAAGTGGCTATTAAATGCCTGTGTCGCGAACGGATGCAGTCGAATCCCATGGAGTTCCTCAAGGAGGCGGCCATCATGCATTCCATCGAGCACGAGAACATCGTGCGGCTGTACGGCGTCGTCTTGGCCACCGACTCGCTCATGCTGGTCACCGAGCTGGCTCATCTGCGCTCGCTTCTGGAGTGCCTCAAGGACTCGGGGCTGCGTGTCAGTTTCCTCACCATACCCACGCTCTGTGAGTTCGCCCTGCAGATCTGCAATGGAATGCGCTACCTGGAGCAGAAGCGCCTCATCCACAGAGACCTGGCGGCTCGGAATATCCTGGTGTTCAGCAAGGACAAGGTCAAGATCTCCGACTTTGGCTTGTCGCGTGCGCTGGGCGTGGGCAAGGACTACTATAAGACCAACTTCAATGTGAACCTAAAACTGCCGATTGCGTGGTGTGCACCCGAGTGCATCAACTATCTGCGCTTCACCAACGCTTCCGATGTGTGGGCCTTTGGGGTCTGCCTGTGGGAGATGTTTTCGTACGGCTTCCAGCCATGGGCGGCACTGACCGGCCTGCAGATCCTCGAGGCCATCGACGCACCCAACTACCAGCGACTGGAGCAACCCGACTGCTGTCCCAGCGAGTACTACACTCTGATGATGAAGTGCTGGCAGGACGATGCCGCCAAGCGACCGCGCTTTGGAGAGATCTACGATCTACTACCCGATATGAAGCCGGAGCAGCTGAAGGCCGTGGTGAACTGTTCAGAGCCCAAGAAGGACCATCTTCTGTATCGCCAGGGCGATATTATAAGCGTCCTTGATCGAAACACGGGCACGCCCTTCTGGAAAGGAGTGCTCAGTACCGGGAAGACGGGCTACTTTAACCCTTCCAACACGGTGGCCTTCCTGGAAGGTCTTCCCAGCTCTAGCCGCGACTCCTTCAGCCGGGTGAGCGATCATAGGATCAGCAAGCGCAAGTTACGCACCGAGATGATTTCAAAGCCGCAAAACGATTTTAAGCATACCGGCCACGTGGGCATTGACGGAGCCACCTTTGGAGACATCGCCTTCCTGGGAAGTTCGCAGAATGTGAGTAACATGATCCAGTCGAATGCGTTCTCCAGACTTATTTATTTTGTTTTCCTCAGTACAACCATGTGCCCAAGCAGATTGTGACGCCCTACAAGCCCTCGGAGGACATTGAGCAGACGCCACTCCTACTGCCGCCGACGCCCACGAGTCCAGACTCTCTGCAGACCGCCAGTGGGTATTTCCCAGAGGGTGCCAGCAGCGGAGGCGCCATGGGCACTTCCATGAACCCCACATTCATTCCATCCGCCGAACACACGCCCAAGCTGATATCCACGAACGGCCAAAGCTCATTCGACTTTGCCACCGGGTCCACCAATCCGTTTTTCCTCAACAGAGGCGACGATGAACTGGAGTTTGGCCTTCACAACAACAACTACGGAGCGGATGGCAAGAGCATTCATTCGGGCGAACCGGGCTGGCGACCCAGTTCCCGCACTGTTGCGGATGATCCCCACGAGTATCACGAAATATCGGATGATGAAATGGCTGCCGACAAGCTGGACTTTGGGCCATCGCTAATGGACGAGATCAACTCGATGTTTGGATCGATAAGCGGGGCTTCCGGCAGCCACCCCAAGTCGCCCGGATTTGATCATGTGAACAGCAAGAACGAGTTTGCCGAAATGTCGGCCAAACTGGGGCAAAAGAATGGCGACACCAATGGCAACAAGCATGGCCATGGCCTGCTGCCCACGCTCTCGAAAAAGAAGTCGTCGGGCACCGTGAAACCCATTTCTGTAAAGGATGAGAAGATTCTCAACCATGCCATCGAGATAGCCAACGAGATTAGTGCCAGGTGAGTTGGGATCCTTAAGGCTTTGGAACAGCAGCTTATTAAAATGGTTCCTTCTTTTAGATCAATGATTGATCTGGTCTCTGATCAAACTCCCGCCATGCACAGTCCGAAGCGCAAGTTCAGCTTCAGGTTCCCGCATTTGAGTAACAATGGTGGGGCTGAGAAGGCCAGCGGACTGGGAGGTGCCAGTGGATCCGCCCACACTCCCACACACGGCAACGCCTCACCCTTTTCCAAGAAGAAGAACTTCACTGAGGAGCTGCAGAGCATTCCGGACATACAGGTGAGCAACTCAAAGGGGTAGATCAGTTTAGTTCCTCAGTAGCGCTACGCAATCCATCCCTGTTTCTGAAATAGATTCTAATCCTCGAGTTTTGTCTACACTCTGCTTTTTCTTCTCCACCTACATCGTTGCCCTTTCATTTCCCCTTTTGCGTTTGCGTTTTGGCTTTTTGTTTTGGTTGTGTTCTCGTTTTGCTCCTCCATCGCGATCCGAGCAGCGTTTCCGCTCGCTGAGCGAGATCAAGAACAGCACAGATCTGCGGGTGCCCATCTTCGACAAGGAGAGCTCCGACTTTCTGTTCCAGAAGTCGCGTGAGATACTCAGCAGGCCGTTGAATCTGGAGCGGGAGCGGGAGCGGGCGGAGGATCAGCCGTCGAAGAGCATCGACGACAACATAATGGACATTGAGAACACCTTGAAAGCGCTCAATCTGGACTTCATGCACACGTACACGGAGCTGGATAAGAGCGACTCCAACGACACGATCCTCAATGACCAGCTGCCGCAGCTGCTGAGTCTGGACGATGGCATCAGCAGTGCCACCGGCAGCCTCAAGTCGGCGGTCTACAGCTACAGCAACGGAGTGCAGACCATGTTCGACTTCAACGCGGCCACCAGTCATCTGGACAAGCACCTGCAGTACATGCACAACCAGGCGCAGCTGAGCGCCGCTGCTCCCGTCGATCCCAAGCCCATGGAGGACAAGCGCTCCAGTACTCCGGACACGGGCTTCGCCTCCAGGGACACGAACATCTCGTTGTCGCGCCGCAGCAGCCAAAAGTCAAGCTACAGTCCCCAGGAGAGCTTTCACTATCCCTTAAAAGGAGAGGCTTTGTTCAGCGCTCCACCTGTGGTCATGTCCGGAGGCTACTCCACGCTGAAGGATGAGCTGGGCTACGAGCGTTTCGGAAACGGAGCCACCAAGCAAATGCTGGCCAGCGCCTCGCCCATCAAGTCGGGAGCGGGTTTGAATGCCAGCAGTGGATCCGTGTACATGGGATCGAAGGGATACCGCCAACGTTCGACGTCCTTCAACGAGAGCTTTCATCCCATATCACCGGTTCTCTCGGAGCCGCCGCAGCGGGAGAGGGGCGTTATCCATCGGCAGGTGAGGATGGAGCACCAGCCGCCGCTACCACGTCGTTCCGCCTCGTATAAGCCTCGCTCCATCAGAGCTCGCACCCTCCGGCGGTTGAGCTACAATCCCATGACCCTGGACTCGAGTTCTTCCAGCGGGGAGGAGCCGGTGAAGCCCAGTTTGGCCCGCTCCGAGTGCGACATCCGAGCCAGAGTGACGGCCAGCTCGAATTCCTCGTTGGGGAGACGGCGGCGCGCGGGAATGAATCGCCAGGTGCAGTCCGCCTGCCACGACGAGCGAGAGGTTATCATTTCGCCCCGTCAAATCTACGGCTCCAACTCGAGCATCAAGTCGGCACCGCACTACAACATTGGGGGACAGCGGCGCAGCTTCCACAGAGGAGGCACTGGCATGATGGGCACTGGCTACGAGCAGTTCCAATATGACGAGCGCATTTACGATTTCGGAGGTCGTGGTCCCGGCAACAACTACAACATGGCCCACGCCAGTTACCTCAGCTCAAGCCAAAAGCCCAGCTATCTCCTCAACGGATCGGAGTTGCCCGGATCGGGGTCGGGATCCTCTTCGGCCGCCTCGTCGGCAGTGCAGGCCACCTACAGGCAAGCAGCCGGTGCCACCATTCAGAGACCAATGAGCGGCGGAGCTGCCTTGCACGAATTCGACATTAGTCGGCTGACGGGCAAGAGTCCCACGTCCACGAACTTCGTGGGCAGCTCACCGGAGGAGCTGAAGCAGCGCCAGCTCTCGGCGGGCTCCCTGCTGGCGCCCAGCAACAAGTCGGCGAAGCCACAGCGGCCCACGGAGTTCCACTGGCCGGAGAAGATTCACGCCTCGGCGGTGAAGCAGCACGAGATGCACTGGCGGCAAATGCAGCAGCAGCAGCTAACGACATCAACGATTATTAGTGCAGCGGGTGGAGTGGCTGGTCCCGCCCGGAGGTCCAGTGACAGCTCGTCCTCGTCCAGCACCGAGAGTGGGGATGAGTTCCAGTTCCGGCGAGAGTTCGTCGCGCCGAGAATTCCGCCCAGTCCGGCTCCATAACTAAGGAAAATGCTGAAATACGTTCTCAATTTACTGTTCGGCAACGTGTTGTCCGATTAGAGGCGACGGAAAGGTGGGATGGTGGGAATCGGATCCGGAAGGTCGTGGTCACGGATGGCAGCTTCGTGGAGCGCGGAGCTTGGCGGTGTTGTGTTTGTGCTAATGTCTGTGTGTGAGGTGGGGGCAGCGTTGAGTGTTGGCGTCGAAGAGTAAATTGTAGAAGTATTTACAGCGAGTAGATTATATATTTTTTGGATTTGTATTTTTTGAAGCGAGATGAGAGTGTGCCTTATAGGAAAACACCGAAGACCTCTCAGAACAGATAATAATGATGTGCAGATCAGCTGCGCAGCTTCCAACCATCGCATCACCAACCACATAGTTCATCATCATAAGCTCAACTCAGTTTTAATGGAGCAATATAAGCAGCTACCCTCTTCGATTCGATTGAGTTTGTCGGAATAGATGCCCATTTTTTGAAAGTGTTATTTTTATCGCAGATGCAAGTGCATTCCTAGTCCCTATTCCGTCTAATTTAATCCAATCGAACAGTGGTAATATCTCTGAAATTTTCTCTGCATCTCTCAAACGGAAAAGTACTCTATTCAGTAGCCTATAGTCAGTATACAAAGCGTTTCTTCAACTTTTCACTACCACAAACGGATAAAACAAAGATATGGCTTCCAAACGGAATAGAAAATGTTCAATAAATCTTTTCAAAGAGAACCCAACAAGAGCTTGGTTGTCGGAAACAGTATGTCAAGGCACACGGCAAACACAAACACTCACACTTATTGGGGGGACTCCAACTAGACAGGGTATTACCTATTACCTATTACCAATTACCAATTACCAGTGAGAACTGCAGAACTTTGGAACTCACAGCGGTAATTTTAAGCCACACACAGACACGGAAAGACACACAGAAAGACAGACACCCACACAAAACTGTTGACAATCCTCAGAACTTGTCCACATCAAAGAAACATTCGTCGGAGCAAGAATCCCGTACGGATTATGTGCCATATCCTGACGCTTGCATTTTTTATAAAACCAAAGCTAAAGCGAAACCAAAAGTGAAAACCACACAAGTTAAACGATACCGAAACCAAGAGAAGCATTTAAGCTCACTTTAACTAGAGTGTCGAACCCTATAGTATCTTTAAGATTTGAGATTGAAAAGTCAAGAATTGGCCTACTAACCAAAACGAAACCAAAAGCAAACTTCAATTAAATTGGCGACGCGTGGAAAGCGTCCAACATTTTTGATAACCTCACTAAGAATATATTATACGGATTATACTTACTAAAAGATTTTCGCATTCTATGCATTTATGGATAAACTCAAATTGAAAATATGATATACAGATTATATATACACCTACTTAAATCTAAATCAACCTAATATATGTATACAAGTATAAAGGCGTATGCGGTAATGTAAGCATTACGGAACATGATATTCTAAACTATGCGTTCGAAGCGTTTCAACCCAGAGAACATTAAACTTAATGAAAACCAAAATTTACTCAAGTATTATACAAAAACCCCAAAACAACTAAATTAAACTAAACTAAATTCAACTAAGCAACAACTATTTGGAAAACGAGAAAAGTTTGCATTCTAAGAACCAAACAAGTTAATTGGTAATCAAAATAAAAAGAAAATGTTGTGCATATTTAAAGGGATTTAATAAAGAAAAACTAATTCTGAATTTCAATTCTCGACTTGGCTTTATTTGGTGATTGAACACTAATAGTATTAATTTCCTGCACCGCTTTAGTTATAATTTTTTTGGTACCCCAACATTTTCGTTTTGTACAATATCATTTCCATTCACTTTATTCCCACCCCGCAAAAACAGTCGCTGATCGGCAAAGAAGGACTGGAAGCCTACAACACCCTGATCGAGCGCAAGGCCCTGCTGGACATCGGACCCAGTCCGGCGGCCACGTTGCTCCGCCACCTGGACACCGACGAATTCGACCTGCAGAGTCTCCACCAGTCGCAGCGCCCGATGACCTTACCCACCCGAGGAGCCGCCCAGCGGGTGCGAAAGGCGGAACTGGCCGCCGGCTTGAGTCGCCACAACGATGAGAACTCAAACTCGCTGGAGGCCTGCGAAAGTCCCAGCTACATGACCCACGGCAGCTACAAGTTTCCCGAGCCGCAGCAGGCGGAGCAGCAGCAGCAGCAGCCTGAACCGGAGTCACCCAATCCCATTCCCCTGCCGCCGCGCGAGGGCAAGAAGCAGGTCAAGACCAGCACCAAGCGCCATGTGCGCAAGTATCCGCTGATCATTCCGGCCAACGGACTGCAGCGCACGCTCAGCAAACTGACGGACTTTGGAGAAGACGCCGTGAGAACTCCGGAGATCTCCTCCTCCGCCCAACAGCAACCAAGTCGCGCCATCGAAGTGGTGGCCGCCGTCCGACCGAACAGTATGCGCCGCCCGTCGCGCGCCTCTGAGCGGGAATACGAGAACATGCCGGCGGTGGGCAGTGAGTCCTCCCACACGTACCAGAACCTGGACAAGCTGGCTTCTGCACCAGCGGATGCTGCTGGATTAACGGACACCGCTTCGCTGCAGTTTGAGTCCATTCTTGAGGCGGACTCCAGCAAGGAGGGTATCCTGCAGTCGCCGGACGTAACAGATGGCTTCTACAACTTTTCGATTCAGAAGGAGCACTACAACAAGGGCAGGGATGCCGAGTTCGAGGCCACCCAGATTTCCGGGCTGTATGTAAACGATGACGAGCTGCGCAACCTGGACATCGAGAGCAGCCGAAAGACCGCCACTCCCGGCAGTAGTTGCAGCGCCTTGGAGTCGGAGGCAAGCCAACAGGACTCTCAGCCTCCGGCAGAAGCTGCTCCGGAAGTCAGTCGTCGCTTCTCCAGTGCGGACAATGAGCTGGCAGGAAATGCTCTGTTCAAGAAGGTTCGAGCCTCCGTCAACATGGCCATGAATCGGAACTCCGTTGCCGAAACCAGCTCGAGCAGTTGCCAACCGGGAGGAGCTTCTGCCAAGCCGCAAACCGAAGCGGAATACTTTGCAGCCACTGCGGCTCGGCTGGCGGACTCGAACTCGGTTAGCTGCGAGGACCTGCTGGAATTCTCCGACAAGAAACCCAAGGGATGCGAGAGAGGCGTGGATTCGGATGAAGTGCGCATCATGGTGAAAGTACTTGGCAAGGATGTGAGTTACCTTTCATATTTTGTGAACTAGCATATACTAATCTTAAACACTTTTCCACAGAGCACTCCCAATCGATGCCTGGGCGCCCTGGAGTTCATCAACTGGGACGTTCACAAGTCCATTAAACTCATCAAGCTGCAGAACCTGGTCAGCGAGGCCAATCTCTCTCTGGAAGCCTCCTTCGAGGCGCTGCAGCAGCACGAATGGGATCTGCACACGACGGCCCACAAACTGAATGGCCTTAAACTTTAAATACTCCTCTAAGGCCACCCACTTCTCGATCAACTTGATCTGTTCTAAACGACCGCCGTTGCCTTAACCTCATAACTATCGATTCTAATTCGTAGGCTAAGCATTGGATAGATTTAAGCAACACGCAAGTAACGTAATCACTGCTAGCCATTGGCTTCCTTCATTCGGATCGATCGAATCTCAGCATGTACTTATTCGCGCATGCTAGGTCTGCATGCAAGTTACCAGCATCAAAATACACATTTATACATCTTTATAGAAATTTTCAATAAATTATAAACTTTTTTATATACAAGCTTGATAAAAGATTTTTGCATATAAAAGATTTCAGATTGTACATAATTGATTTCGTTATTTTTAATACACAGGTTGAATCGTTGGGGAAGTAAACTGTCGTTCGGTTAAACTATTCAACGATTTATTTAAACTTGAAACTACTACATAATTTACAGATATTGTACAAAAATAAACGGCCACGAAACTAAACTCTAACAAACGAACACAGAACGGGAAATGATAGGGGTGAATCCAACTCTGATGCTATTTTCTCCTGCTGCGCTTTCCGTCCATGCTCATGGTGAGGGCCACGGCCCGAGTCAGACGCTTCGGCGTGGATACTTGCAGCTGCCCGCCACTGAGGTTCATCTCGAGGGACATCCGTTTCCGTGTCATGCACATGGAGCTTATCCGCTGGGCGCGTGCCTCGTTTCGCGTGGTTACCTTTGGAGTGCTGGCACTGGGCCGTGATCGAATCTCGGGCAGCCCTTTTTTGACCGGCTTTTTGGACTTTGCCTTCCTGGTTGCCGGCGTTTCAGTTTCAGATTCAGAATCGGATATTAGCACTGAATCGGACTCCGATTGAACGACAATCGCTGGAGGCACTTGATTTTCCTTCACCGACGACGTGCTGTCCGTGGGACTGTTTGTGGTCGTTGCAATCTGCTGTCGCCGGGAACTCCTGTTGTCAAGGCGCTGCTGTTTACGCAGCGGGGAATTGCGGGGCGACGATTGAGCAGTAGAATCACTGTGGCGCAGGGAATGAGACTTTGGATCTGAAGGAGTCCGCCTGAGCACTCTTTTTCGTCCGTTTCTCAGAGGCGTCTCCAGATGCAGGACCTTTCGCTGATAATAGTTCAAAAAAAAAAAAAAAGGAAAATAAAATTGTAAAATCAAATGAAAACTGACCCTTTGGCGAACTAGGATTAGGAAGCTACTACTATAACCAGGATGCGCGGATTGGGCATCATTAAAACTACAATTTGGTGTTCAGTTTTGAAAACATTTGTTGATTGTTAATGCCGATTGCAACTATTATCTTAAACTAAACAGCGTGTACTGGGAAAGTCGGTGCGTGAGTCCTGTGGCAAAGCCTAGAGCTGCATGCGCAAGCGCCTGGTACTCACTTTGCTAGGTTGGGTGGGAGTGGACTGGGATGTGGATGCTGCGGCGCCTTTCCTGGTGCGGAGCGAACGAAGACGCAGGTAGCTGGCATCCGGAGCGCTTTTCGGACTAGGCGAGCCGGCTGTGGGCGATGCCTCGATCACCTCCGAATCGTTCGACTTAAAGAGAACACAAAAGTTAAAATCTGCAGTGATGGGGGAATATTTTGATTCTTACCCTATCTTCTCTGTTCGGACTCTCGCTTATCTCCTCATCGGATGATTCCTTTTCACTAGGGGGCCGCTTTTCGGGTGTCTTAGATGACCTAGCCATTGCCATTTCAAGTCGTCTTCTCATCTGTGGCCTTTGTAGGTTTCGTTTGGATGTTTCTGCGACCTCCGTTTCCGGGCTTTCTTCCACATCACTTGTCTGAATGCCCAATAAGCTCTCCGCATCCGCATGGCTAATGGCCATGGAGCGACGAAGGTGTCGTATCCCTATGATGTTATCTTTCCCATAGGTGGTCACAATCGGTTCGGGTGTTGGTGCTGCTGGGTCCACTGCTTTTGGAGTGGAAGCGGCCTCCACCACTACGCTTGTTTCAGTTTGCGAAATTTCCGCAGGAGGAGTATGACTCGCCTCGTTGGTAGGATCCTCGGGAAGAGGGGCTGCCGTCTGTACTGGCACTGCCGTTTCCGATTCCGCCGTTGTCACTGTGGCTGTCTCGCACTCCTCATCGCTTTCGCCGTCCTCCGGATTCCTGCGCGGAGGCGGATTAAAACTACCATTGACCAAAAGCTTAAAGTTCTCAATGTTCTTAATCATTCGAGGATCCAATTCGCTCTGAAATTTAAAAGAAAACTAAGTAAGCACAAATGTTTCCTAGGTCAACTGAGAAAAACTTACAGCTATCAGCTTGTCCGCCAAATCGAGAATTTCAGTCTTAATCTCCGGCCCGTTGAAGACGTTCACTGAGAGATTCGTGAGCTCCTTTGCCAGAAGCCGGCACATATCTTTGCGCTCCGTAAAGTAGTTTTGAATATACTGCAGAATACTTATTGCCATCTTGTTGTGGATATTCTTTTGGGGTGTGCTGACCTCTTGCACGGTCATTTCGAGGAAAAACTTGGTCAAGTGTTCGGGTTGGACGCCATTAAGCGGCGAGTCATAACTACAGTTCATGATGGTCCAAACAGTGGACAGGAAACAAGGCTGGAGAAGATTCTGCTTGTTGAGGCGCCTTAGCTCCTCAAAAAACATACCCAAAACTTGGCTGATAATGGGCTCGGTGTTTGGGTTGAAATACCGCTTCAGCAGCTGCTCCAACACATCCGGTCGATCGTCTAAATGACCGCGAAGCACCAAACGGCAGAGCCCCCGAACGATGGCTAGGCCAACGCCTTTGTTCTGCACTCGCTCCATGTAGTGGCCCATTACCATGATGATGTCGGTGTTCTGTTCGTTGTTCTGCGATTGGCTGCCATCGTCGTCGTCGTAGAGCTCCTGCATTGTGTAGAGCTGTCTTCGCTTCGTCTTCGACACTTGGCTGCCGGTTTGATTAAAATCGTTGAAGTAGTCCAAGCCGTAGTTGTCCAACAGCTCCAAAATACAGATCGCCGCCGTCTCGCACAGTCGCACGATGTTGTTGTTGCAAAACTGGTCGACCACCACCTCAAACACCTCCTTGCTGTAGGCCTCGTAGAACATGCTGTAGGTGGTGCCGCACTTGATGGCCCACTCGAAGATGTCCACCTCGCCGCAGGGCAGGTAGCGGCATATGAAGTCCTTGTACAGCTGGCACAGGCTTGGCGTCAGCTTGTGGACGTGCGGAGAGGCTGTCATGTAGTAGCAGGTGTACAGTCCCTTCAAGACGCGCTCTTGCTTGGAAAGCTTTGGCCGTGCGGGCATCTCAAGCAGGCCGTTTTTTTCCAACAGCGGCCGGATCAACTCAGTGTACTCTTCGGTGACGGCGGTCTTCTCATCGTTCACAGACTGCGCACGTATGTACTCCTTCTGGCGCACATAATTGTCCTCCTGCTCCTCCATCTCAAGGATCTTGACCTTCAGCGAGGAGATCTTCATCTTCAGAGGCGTGTCCAAGTCGTCCAGCAACTTATTAATCAAACTGCGGTCGTGAATCAGCTCGTTCTGCTTGGTGTTAAGCTCGCACAGCTCGTAGATGATTTCGATGAAGAACTGCATCCGATCGTTCATGTCCGTGATCAGTTGCTCCATGCAGCGCACTAGCACGTTTACGATCTTGTGGTCCAGCAGGCAATCCTTAAACAGGTTGGTGATCAGCAGGCGCATGTTGCCCCGTCCGATTTCGTCCCCGAGATCGTATGACTGCAGGATCTCCACCAGCGAGAGCAGCATGTTCTGGAACTCAACCTGGGCAAACTTGTCCATGTCTGGCTTTTGAAATTGGCAGAATCTACAAAACAATTATTTTATACCGATTGATAGTACGGAGAACACTCTTCTTACTTTTCTACGTAGTTACAAAAGACACTGAGTTCCGGCAGCACCGGGTCCATTTCGGGAGCCTCCATGTCCAGGTACTCGCTGAGGCATTGCCAGTAGATAAGCAGTTCCACGGTCAGCGATTCGTGAGGGATGCAGCGATGCAGCTCGCAATCGTCGCTCAACGGCAGCTGCTCGACTAGCTTCAGGTGGTCCGTTTGCTCGAAGATCACCCTCAGCATTTGCTTCGCCACGCGTCGGAAGCGCAGCAGCTCCTCCTCGTCGGAATCCAGCTTAAGGGCCGCCGTGAGGGCAATATAGTTATGCTGGTACGACTCGACCCACGTCTTGAGCATAAAGTTGACCACCGTTTTACGCACGGTGGCTGAGGTGTCGTTGAGCCCCTGCTCCAGTAGGGTAAGCCGCTGGGCCACCTTGTACGAGCGCACCGGGTAGTTGCACATGTTCACGTACGTGTGGCGGCGCACCTTTTCATCGACGTCCCACAACCGCTGAAGGATGTGCGGAATAGTAATGTAGTTCCGGCCCATGCATGTGATGATGCACTGTCGCACATTGGGCGACGGATCGGCGGACAAATGGTACTGATAGGCACAGACGACAGGATCGTTCGGATTGTCTGGATTTTGTAGGCGCTGCATGGCCAGAACTGCTTGCTTGCGCACACTGGCAGACACGTCCTTCACTCGGTCCAACATAGCCTCCAGGATATCATCGCACTGGTTGTCATCCAGGGCGGCATTGGGTCCCAGTTTCTTGAGTATGAGATTAATAAAGTAGCAAATTCGATAGCGGATGTGCGGATTGCTGGAATAGGTCTGCAGATGCGGGAATATCCAATTAGTAACATGTGGTAAAATTTTGTACAGTAGACACATACGGTAAGCAGCCAGTGGAAGGTTTCCCCCAGCATGGGCTCGGTGCGATTCTCATCAGGAGTAGCGACGAAACTGGCGCAAAAGTTTAGGGCCATGGTGGCGTTCTCATTGCCCTCCTCCGCTTCGAGGACCGCCTTCAGAACGTTGATGAAGGCCCACTTGAAGGACTCGTGGCCCATCTGGAAGATTATTAGATTGTTAAAGACGGAAATTTCAAATAAAACGACGCGACTCACCTTTATGTACAGTTGCTGCATTTCCTTAACATAGCGCTGGTGCAGGGATTCCTTGAGCTCGGCGTGTCGCATTATCGCGTACATGGCCTCCGCAGAACAGGATACGGAGGCAGTGGTCGAGGTGGCCGCACCCTGATCCTCGTTCTCCTTTTCCCCATCTTTGTTGGATTTCTTGGTAACCGCCGGACGCTTCCTGCTGCCCGTTGCCTTTGGTTTGGCCTTCTCAACCGCCTTCGCCTTCGGTCTGGGCATTACGTTTTTAAATGTATTGTAGATCAGGATCCGCAGTCAATTTATAAGTTGCGCTTTTTTGGTTTCTGGTTTAAAAAAACAGTTTTCAAATTGCACCAAGCGATGGCGAAACAAACAAGCGTCGCGTTATTGCTTTCTCTTCTTTCCACCCCAGTTCGCTTGTTAAATTCAAATGACGCGTGCGGATTTTTTAGTGTTTTTTTTGTGTTACGAGCGATAAATGTGATCGCTCGCCTATCGATTGCCAAGATCCATTTTGAAAATAACTGAAATGTGTATACCAGTACATAAAAAATGCGTTTTAGTTATGGCATTGTAAGATTAACATTTTTCGTTATGTTATATTACTAATTGGGTCAAATAAATTTCTGAGCCGTTAATCCGAGCAGTATCCCTTCACATTTAAGTCAAACCACGAATAAAGCATGGCATATTCATCCCTGATCGTTATACACTCTTTACCTGAAGGATAAGAAATACCGTACTGTACTGATTCTCAACTGGGTATATTGAAATTTTGTAAAGGGTAGATTCTTGAGAATGCAAAGTACATACTGTAAAATGTAATTTTCAGCTTATTTTTTTGGTACTATGTTTAGAGTAGATAATACAGTCGGCAGATAACAGATAGTTTGTAAAGGACAAAATCTGAAAAATTTGGAAATGTGCATACCACGGAAAACTCAAATTTTTGATAAGAATGTACCAGGAATATACGATTTAGGAAGAAGAAGATTTAGCAATTATCATCAGCAATGGGATAACCTTAAAAATAATTAAATTAATAAAACAGACAATATTTTTATTCGACAATACCTTAAGTACAAATATTAAATATATAAAAATATTTACTTTTGTTACTTTGAAATTCAATAAATGAAATTCAATAGAAACCCTGTTTTCTACACCCAGAAGTTTTAAGACGATTGACTAGCTGTTAATAATTTGTCATTTCAAAAATGTTGAAAACCGTCTACATATAAGGTGTGTTTATACTAAAGGAACTAATTCCGCCGTATCATGTCTCGTGCTTCGAAGCGCGTCTACGAGGCCAAGACCGCCTATCCGGATCGTACCAAGAACGAGGAGAAATCCTTCACGGAGGTGAATGTGCCGATCAAGAAGCTGGACACGGCCCTGCTTCTTTTGAGCTCCCAGGAGGAGTGCGTCCTGCTGACCGTCTTTAGCCACATCACAGATTTCGCCCGCCGCGAGGATGCTAATGTCCTGGATCTTAGGGCCCACCGCCTGCTGGAAATCCTATTGGAAAAGGAACTGTTCATCAACTCGGAGAACACGATGATACGACGTTTTGCTTTGTTCCTGCTCACCGCTCTGCTGGAAAAAACGGACATGGCCACCTATGAGCCACAGCAGGCGGATCAGATCCTGGACCTGGCGTGCAAATTCTATTTAAAGGAGACCGACGATTTCTGCATCGAGTACCTGACATATATATTGAATGTTTGTCTGAAGGATCCCCAGATGGCCCATGGCATTTTGGAGGCCACCGAGTTTCTGGAAAAGTTCAAGATTGTGTTTATTAATTCTGAGAATCCGGACACGGTTTTAAACTCAATCGAGGCACTGCATCGGATGCTTCTAGTCCAGAGTGCCGATCAAATGCTGGAGTTCACTACCCAGCCAGATTTTCCCATCGATCGGATTATCTGCGAGGTGACCAACGAGTTCCAGGAGATCCGAAAGGCTGCGCTGAAAACATTGAAAACCCTTCTGGCGGACACTGGAGACAACAGCGTTTTTGAGCCACTGCATCGCTGCTTCTTCGTCCTGCAGCAGCTGGTCAAGGCCTTCTGCGAAAACCCCCAAGGACCTGAAGCCCCCGATATTATCGAAGTCCTGGCCACGGCCCTGCGCTCCGAGAAGATGACCAAGCTGTTCTTCGAGCAGAACCTCTTTGACCTGGTCGTGGAGCAGCTGCGCAACCACATGGATGTGATGCCGTTAGAAATGCGCTGCAGCATAATCTCGATCTTCGCAGAGACGGCTCAGTACGAACAGTTTCTGCCGCGGATGCACAAGGCAGAGCTCACGGATATGTTCCTCAAATGTCTGATGCAGAACAAGCCAGCTCCGGCCGCGTTTGTAATCCAGGGCCTGCACCGCATGTCCCAGTTTCCGGATGCACTGCGACAAATTGTGGCCGCCTACGAGGAGGGTGCCATCCGCAAACTGGTGTCCATCCTAATGTCGCCGGAACTGCCCGTCAAGGTGCGTGAGCAGGCGGCAGAGTTTATTGCTCGCCTGCTGGAGGCCTCCTTCCGGGAAACGGCTGCCGAGCTGCAGGAGCAGGACATCGCCGTTGTCCTTACGGCAATCATTACCCAGGGACAACCCACCCTGTCCATCGATCTCATCCTCTCGCTGCTGACGATCATCGAGAGTCTGGCCCAGAACGAGGAGTACCGCGCGATCCTGGGGGATTACAGCTTTTTGACCGAGCAGCTTGCCCAGCTGCTGATGGTAATGATCACGGGTTTCATTATGTATAATCCTAATTGATTGCTCTTCTGATGTCAGCGTTCCTATGCTCACTCCATTCTGGTGAACAATATCTTCCGCTGCCTGTGCACTCTGATCGATGAACCTCTTGTGCGAGAGACCCTCTTGGCCAACTACATAGTCTCCTCCATCAAGCGGGCCCTGAAATCGCTGTCCAACTTGGTTAAGACCTCGGTGACCAACTTTATTCTGCAGACCACGCGCTTCAACGAGTTTATTGACGCCTACATCGATCGGGGTATTCTGGAAGTGTAAGAAAGTTAATGTTTTAAGATTTTTTAGTTTGTACTGCAAGGATATTTACAAACTTATTTTGAATTCAGTTTGCTGGAGTTCCAGAAGCATGCCTTCTGCGTTTCCACCTGGGGCCCGGCCATCGAGAGCATCCTGTCCAAGTGTCCCACGATGAAGTTCGCCATCCGCAACAGCCTGACCTTTACGGACATCACAGCCGGCAAGGACTTCTATGTGTCGCGCAGGAAGTTCGAAGACTTCCGAAATTTCCAGGACATCCTGCGCAACGACTGCTCGCCCCTGGACTCCGTGCTAGTGGTTAATTTCGATCGTCCAAGGCCGGATGAAAACGATGTGATCCCAGTGCCCGTGCGATGCTTAACCTTAATTACGGATACTCCAGGTGATCAGAGCTGGGTCTACTGCAAGCGACCTGGAGATCCCTTCTTGCCGCAGTACCTGGAGGCACTCAACCAGACGCTGGCTGTGGGTATTACCTAATCGCAATATTAACACTATACCAACTTGTTCCTTAGATTCACGGCTTGGTTGAAAATCCCGAAAGGATCCGTCGCTCCATTGACTTTGACAATGTGGCCAAGCGGGCCAAGCTGGTCGCCCAGGCGGTCTACGCCGTGATGAACGATAATCTCAAGATTCTGGACCTCAACTCGACGGAGGAGTGCTGCCGGAACACGGTCAAGTGCCACCTGCAGGACCTGACCCACGTCCTGCACACGAACTTCGTTCCGCTGGGAATGGTGCGCAGCGGCTGCCAGTTCGAGCGGGCGATCCTCTTCAAGGGTTTGGCAGATCAGATTGGGCTACCCTGCACCCTGGAGCGAAGTGTCGATGGCAGGATGCTCTTCAACGAGGTGCCCCTGCCCCTGGAGCAGGACAAGGATGTGCACTGCGACAAGAAGACGCTCAAGTTTATGCCCTGGCGAATGCTGCGACCCACTCACGTGGTGGACCTCATGTACAACGTGGGCGAACTCTACCCGATGCAGAGTCGCCAGGCGCTTCAGTACCTGCGACTCTACTAAATCTAGTTTCCGTGTTCTCCCCACAATCGCCGTTTCGCTTGCAAAATTATCCTGTCCTACCGTTTTTGTCCTGGTTATTTAGTAAAAAAGTTTTATTAAGCAAAATATTGGTGCTACATGTTTTCACTTTTATTAGGTAAAATATGTTTTTTTATGCTAGTCCGTTTTATATAAAACATTGTTTATAATAAGATTTTTGAACAACCTGAATATGAGGTATAAAATTTGAAGCTTTCGGTTTTATTTATTTTTTTATTTCAAAATATTGAAAACATACCAAGTAAAAAAAAAAACCAACTAAATATTTTATAACTGCCTGGTTTGAATCCCGACTGAGAATGGAAAGCCACTGCGCATGTCCTTCTCGTGTTACCTTTTTCTGACGTTCGGGCATCAAGTGTCAGTTTTGGAGAGCAGTGGGGTTCGCGGAATGAGGAGCAGGTAAACAAGAGAATCTCTGGCCACGGTAGATTAGCCAACGAATCGGGTGGCCAGCAGGATGATCCGACCCTTCGTCACGCTGCTCTACTTCCTGCTGACCAGTTCGTCCATCGTATTCACGGCTTGCGTCAATAATGGTGAGTACTCTAGTCCTCGGTGAATTCCAACGACCTTGGCCGGGAAAAATCAATAATGCCTCCAATCCAATGTCTAGTCACGGGCACCACTCCGCCGGGATCCGGACCGAGTACGTCGCTGACCAGCGGGCACATCCACCGCACGGCGGCGGCCATCGAAAGGGTGAACCTGCTCTGGTGCTACGCCTGCCACACGATGGACGACGGAGAGGCCTGCGTGGATGTCGCGGTCCGCAATGACACCGCTCTGATGAAGAAGTGCCACGGCGAAGAGTTCATCTGCATGGTGAGTGGTGCTGGACACTAAAGTCAAACCAAAAAATCCATTGGTTTTATCAATACAAAATTTTAAATCCATGAATTTAGTGAAGTTTTTATATTGAAATGGATGAACTATTATTCTATATCAGCTAAAACGAAGCAACATAGAGCGTTCATCATAATTGTTCCATAGGAAAATTCAGGAAACCAATATGCAATTATGTATTTAAAAAAAAAAAAAACAAAAACTTCGAAATAATTGTTTTTTAAATTTGGAAAAGAAACTGAAAATGAATAGGAACTTACACGCATACAAATATGGATAAGATTTTAAGATTTTGACCAACTTTGAAAATAAGAATAACAGAAAAACCATAAAAGTAATGTAATTGCTTCTTTTTTAAACATAAATGCTTATATTTAAAAAAATAAAATTGGTAAAACTGGCTACTTTTATGAGTTGGGACCTAAACGTTTTTAAAATAAACATTTGGATTTTTGGTGGTTGAGATCGAATGGAAACCATAGAGTAACCAATGAACGAATACTGATTGCAGGTCAAGCGGTTCTCCTACACCACCAGCACGGAAAACTCCACCAGCTCGCCAAAGATGTGGTCCTTGGACCGGAGATGCACTGCCAACTGCGAGCCCGGCTGCATCATAATCGGCGAGCGGACCAAGCTCTACGCCTGCACGTCCTGCTGCGAGGAGTCCTTTTGCAATACGGGTCGAGGCGCTGCCTCCGGGATTTTCCACCGCGAGGACACGGGCATCGGCACACGGCTCTTTTGGCTGGCCGCCCCCTTTCTGGTCAACATGTCGTTGGTTCTGTACAAACGGCACGCCGGCCACGTTCTACTCAAGCTGCAATAGTCCTGCTATGGGTCAACTCACTGAATTTACGGGCACTCAACGCTCCCCCCGGGATGCCACACACTCAACTCCACTCAATGCCAAATCCTAGCTAATTTTAGATCTATGTCTTCTGTAATGTAGATAGGCCACCATGTTGCCGTGTGATAATAAAAGCTGGCCTCACACAACCAACAAAAACGAGAAACACATATTTTGCCTCTTGTTTCAGTAGGCTAGTTATAATAAATCATAATATTTTACCCTGCATTACTTTTAATTAAATTAGATTTAACAAAAAACTGCAGTTTATATTATTATATTAAAAAAGTTTTTAATTCTGACCAAAACATAGGTAGTTCTCAATATAATTTTAAAAATTGCAAATTAAAACAGCTTGCTTCTACCAATGCATTGGTTAGTTTTATCACAATATTTTTTTATTTGGCCATATAATGATATTCGAAAACCTTCCTTTCGTAACCTAGCTTGTTATAATATATGCAAAATGATAAGCTCATTAATTAGTTCCATTTGGAGTATCACAGCTTCCTTGCCCTTAGCTTATCCCCTTGCAAATTGTTAATAGAATAATTTTAATCCCAGCATTAGGGTCTCATGCCCGGCATCCTTGGGCCCCAAAGTGGAATTGTATTCTGTTTCTGGTAAACATCGAGGCCATGAATACATGCATTAAGCCCTTCATTTGGTCCTGCGAATTGCATTACGTTTCCGTTTCCAGCATGCCCAGCTTCCTCTGTCTGCATCCGCATTAGGATCTCGCAGATGGGAGGAGGATTTTTCGGGGGCGGCTCTTCTGGGCAGACATGAATTATTTATTGGACAACCAGTCGCCGCTTGGAGGGAGTATTCATAAGCAGGCAGGGGGCGGTGGGCGGTGGGCGGGGCAGGACCTCTTATCCGGCCTTGGGTGGGCGCCAGATCCTGCTCATCTAATGGAGTTGCCATTAAAAACAGATACTAACATGAGACATGCTGCATCCGTGTTGCCGTGCGTGGGCCTCTTGTTTTGTCCTTATTTTCGGGTCTGGAATGCACCACGCCCCCTCATTTGGGCCACACATACAAGATGGCTCGTTAACGCCCATGAATTGCACAGCAACTTACACTGAGATTTGAGTCTTGGGATAATCAAAAGTGAAAGAGAATGTATACAAAAATAATAAATATAATAATAATAAATCAAAGTGTTGCTTAATAGTACTATCAATTTCCATAAACAAAATAATTGGCTTTCATAATTTGATAGTGATTGATGACATTGATGTATTTATAAAAATAGTAGAAATGTGAATCAAATTCGCTTTTGACATGAAAAAGAGAGCATTAAAGATGGTTAAGTGTGCACATTAAGAGCGGTATCCTTAAGGAATCCCAAACGTTGAAAGCTAAATGACATGTCATAATTTTTACCCAGTGTACAAAGCATGTCCTGCTCTAGTTTCAGGACCCTGGAGGGGCATTTGCCGGGCCAAAAATGCTGGGCTGGCTCCTAGATGAACTTCCGGTGCCTAGACTCCTCCATCTTGGCTAATAAAGCCGAGACAAATCTCTTCATTTCGGGCTTAATTTTCTTAGCAAATTTACATAAATGACCGAGGGGAGAATGGAGGCCAGAAAGTTGGATAGGGTTCAGGTTCAGCCGGCTGGCCATCCATCATGGCTCTCAGTGGGTGGCGGAACTGGGGGACGGATTGCTTTATGTGGCCTTCGTGTATTCGGCGTTTATTTTTGCGGCTTTCATGTCGTAAATCTTCATCAGACGGCAAATTACGTGGTTTCCATCGCGTGGCTCGCCCGCTCCTCGCCATCGGCATCGGCATCCTTTGCTGATGTTTCGGAGGCACTTTTCGAAATGTGGCGGAACGTATCCGGCAAACAATAAAGTGACCGCAACGCCAGACCCCAGTCCTCTATATATCCTTGGCCGGGAAAAACAATAAACGGTGACAAAAAGGCAAACAGGATGCGCATAAAAACAGCAACAACAGCGGCCAGCGAAGCATAGACAACAACAACAAGAATAACCATTACAGGACATCCGAAGGAGGAGGACTGCAGGCCCAGCCATTGACAACAGTTCCATTTATGAAAAATAATAGCCACGGCAATATGCAAAATTTATTATTATATTTGCGTTGAGCCGCAAAAATGCGACGGATTTCGAGCCTCGACCCCTGAAAGTTGATAACAGTGCGGTGCCAAGCTGAATGAAGTGAATTTGAAATACCCTTCTTAAAGATGACTTTAAATTTTATATTTAAAATAAGACGTTTAAGGTAATACAGAATGTGTGGTAGTATCAAATGATCTATTTGTAAAACAGATAACCAATGTTACCTACCCGATATTTTATTATAAAAAGCCGTGAATCTTTGGACCAAAACTAACCGAAATAAAATTGTATTTTATATTAAGTTTTGAATCAAAAACTTGTTCAGAAATTCGTGAATGTTAGAGCATACCCTTTCGGAATTTTACTGAAGAGTTTCCCGCTGACGTTATTGCTTTGCCCGCTTTATTCATTCATTATTATGTATTGTCACATTGGCAATGGCACAGAGTTACACCATGTTTTTGGCTGTTTGTCCTCTTTTTTTGCTCTGCTTTTATTTGCCATCATTTTGTGCACTCGTTAGCGGTTGTTGTTGCTGCTTTGTCGCGCCAAGTCCACAAAGAAATTTCAATTAAAATGCAACAATGCCGCACTCCATCATCGGGGCGACGCGCCAAGCTGACAAACCGCGACACATTCCCCTCCAAACTGGAGCTAGGGATCCGCGGGTCCTCCGCCTGGCACTCCTCGTGGAGCTCCTCTTCCGGAATTCCCCTGAATTTGGCAGCCACGAAAGTCGCACGTCTCGCCAATGGCTGGCAAATGACTTTGCATTGCGCAAAGTTTCGGGAGGAGCGGTGGGAGGATTTTTTGGCCAGAGTTTGGGAAACTGCAATAATGAGGTAGGGAAATAAGAAATAAGTTTAAACAAGAGAGATACTCAAATTGCTCCTGGGAAAGTTGTAATGAAAAGCTTTAAGACTAAGAAAAAATTTTAAATGTATTTTATGGCTCTTCATAATATTGATTTTGTCTCAAAAAATAAATAGTACTTTGTACAAGTACAGATTTTAAAGTTTTTAACCTTTGAAGCTACTTACTAAATTACCAAAATGTGGTGGGAAGTGGTTGTAGATAGGTTAGTTAGTTAATAGGCTCAATGAAATGGAAACCTACTAAACAACACACATAGCTAATTAATTTTATTTTTAGCTGCCAATTTTAATAAGCATTCCAGCTAATTTATGGTTCTTAAAGCGCCCAAAGTCGCCATTTGCATATCTTGCAGTGGGTGATAAATCCCTGTCGGCGAATTAACAGGATGCACATGCAGAACATCGCAAGCTGGCCAAAAACAAGGGACAACTAGTCAACATCTGGCGGGGCAAGAAGCAGCCAACACCGACAATAAGGGACTGGTGTTTTTGGCCCCGCAGCCGCAGGCCATTCAGCCATCCCGCCCACTTTCATCGACATCGGCCCCAGAATGTCAGTGGCCTTGTAGACGGCGGTTCGAGGCTCCAGTCCCCACTCCCCATTCCCCATCTCCCGCCCACTTGCACAACCACCCACCGCTGGAGGGATCCTTGCAGCGACTGTGTAATTAAAACTTTGAGTAACAGCCACGAAAACTACAATTGACTGACTGCCTGACATCCTGGGGGCATTGTAGTGTGTGGGTGGTTGCTTGGTTGCTTGGTTGCTGGCTGGGTGGTTTTGGGTGGTAGGTGGTGACCCAAGCTGTCAGTTGGCGCCACTTTGGGTGCGAAGTGTTTTCGTTTTCGTTTTTTTAATAAACTTTCACCAGTCTGCTGGCGGCAGCAGCAGCAGCAGCAGCTCATCCCTTATTGGATTTTCAGCTTTCTATGCGAGTGAAGTTATTGAAGGAAGCGGAGGAAAGCGAACTGAAGGCAGGATAAAGAGATAGTGGAAAATCGGAGGGCTTGGCTTTTCTCCATTAAGAGCTTGCTCGGCTCTTGCGATTTGCGTAAACGATTTTGATAGATTTTGATGGGATTTGGGCATTGGTTTCGAGTTGGCCTCGAGTGTCTCGAGCTTTCCCGCTGACTGACTGAATGGTTGAGCTGTGTTTGCTATTCTGGCTTTAATTCCTGCCATTTTGCGCCAGCTGCAGGACACGGAAACGCACTAAGCGTAAATTAGAGAGAGCGGAGGAAATTTCGTGTTGGGAAATTGATTTTCTCGTGTCTTTTCTTTAGCCAGCTTTACGGTAATTTGCTCGCACACAGACACACTGAGCAAAAAAATATTGAAAAACTGTTTTTAGTCCTTAAAAAGGGAAATAATATATAAAAGAAAACAGATTAAACTAAGAACATTTTATAAATAAGTTCGAAGAGTTAATATTAAAGAGTGTACCATATAAAAAGATTTGTTATGTTGATCAGAATTCTCAAATAATTATTTATTATTATAATTATAATTATTTTAGTTAACAGTATAACAGTCATATACCTTTTTAATAATAATATGCTCTGAATTATGTATTTTTTATTTATTAAATTTTTCTTTGTGCAGACACATTAACTTGGATGCACACACAAAATGTTTCTCTGCTCACGTTTAATGCTTTACATGAATTTGCATATTAATCTTGGGTTTCTTTCCCCGTCTGCGACTCGTCCTTCCATCCCTTTTGCCCGGTGTCCTGGCAACCTTTCCGAAATTACACGGAACTACACATTTTGGTTTGTCACCTTGGCATTACGGCACGTAAAACGTAATCAGCTGTGTGTGCAAAGCTTTCGGGGATCTCCCAGATGCCCCCTCACCCCCTCGCAGGACCCCACAACCCCTTTCGGGGACCCATCCCCTCGGGCGTATGCAAATGAAGGCCCAACGATGTTGCCAGCTGCTCTCAAGGCGACTTAACGCCTGCTTAATGAACATAAATTAGTCAGGTGTCGCTGCGCGGGGTCCTCCCCCTCCCCCTCCCCCTCCCTCTTATCATCCCCCTCAACTCCCCTCAGGGGATTTGGGGGCGTGGCACAGCATGCGTTTATATTTCAATTTTGTCGCTCGTAACTTCCGCTGTGCGGCAGGACACCTCGGGACTTCCAACTCACGAAGTCCTTAATCAAGGTCGCTGCTTGACTCCGTTCCTTTTTTCCAAGTCTTCATTGGCTTGAGATTTATTTAAGAAGTTAGAACTCAGAAATGAAACAG